ATGTGCGCCTGCTCCTCACATCTACAACTCACTGTGGGAGTGAACTACCGGTCCGCGCTGGTCCTCGATACCTAAGGCGCCGCCATGGCGACCCAATTCATGAACGATGCCCTCCACGCCCTGCTCCGTATGTTCCTCTGATCGGCGCTCTTGAACACCGGCGCTTGGTTTCTATATTGGGACGACTAGCTAACATCTTTGTTCTTCTCTAGGGAGAGCCGCTGAGGACTCCGATCCCGATGGTACGCGTGCCTGAATCCATTCCCCCCTCTCATCATCCCCTCTCGCCCGGCTGAATGGCGCTTTACAACTTCGGTGATTTAACTATGTGTTTTCATTGCAGATGCCCCCGAAGCAGGGAGCAAGGAGATCACAAGCTCCTGGGCGTTGTTTATTATGATCATGTTGTTAATGTTCGCTCTCTTTACGAGCTACATGCTTCAACAGAAGAAGATCCAAGCTGTCCATGAGACGGTTCTGTCGATTTTTGCAGGTATGCATATACTCAAGGCTTCGATGCGCATTATGCAAATCGCAAACTGGGCTGGGAATACTGACTGTCGGCAGGAATGTTCGTCGGGTTGATTATTAGATTAACGCAGTCAACCCTTCAAGACAGCGTCGCCTTCGATTACCAATTCTTCTTTAACCTCCTCCTTCCTCCGATTATCCTCGCCTCCGGATACGAACTTCACCAAGCGAACTTCTTCCGGCATATCGGCACTATTCTTACATTCGCCTTCGCCGGTACTTTTATCTCGGCGATTGTGCTTGGCCTGGTTCTTTACCTTTGGACACGGATCCCGCTGAACGGCCTGAACATCTCCTTTGTTGAAGCTATTTCGGTGGGCGCAACCCTCTCCGCTACAGATCCTGTTACCATTTTGGCTATTTTCAACCTCTACAAGGTCGAGCCAAAGCTTTACACTATCATTTTCGGCGAGTCGATCTTGAACGATGCGATTGCCATTGTGTTGTTCGAGACGGCGCAGAAGTATGCCGAGAGTGAGGCCGGCTCTTTGACTTTCCTCAATCTCTTTGAGGCTATTGGGCTTTTCTTGCTTGTGTTCTTTGGAAGTATGCTGGTTGGCATGCTGGTTGGAATTGCAACCGCGCTCGGTCTCAAGTACACTCTTGTGCGGCGCATGCCTAAGATCGAGAGCTGTCTTATCATTCTCATTGCCTATGCCAGTTATTTCTTTTCCAATGGCGTGCATCTGTCGGGCATTGTCTCGCTTTTGTTCTGTGGCATTACCCTCAAGCATTATGCTTACTATAATATGTCGCGTCGCACTCAGTTGACCACGAAATACCTGTTCCAGGTTATGGCTCAGCTGTCGGAGAACTTCATCTTCATTTACCTTGGTCTTGATCTTTTCGTTGAGGCTAACCTCCAGTTCAATCCCTTGTTCATCCTGGTATCCGTGTTTGGTATCTGTCTCGCACGTTACCTCGCGGTGTTCCCGCTTTCCAAGGCTATCAATTGGTTCCTTCGTTATCGGGCACGCCGCCGTGGTGTTGAAGTTGCAGATGAGCTACCATTCGCCTACCAGGCTATGCTCTTCTGGGCTGGACTGCGTGGTGCCGTCGGTGTTGCGCTAGCAGCCGGTCTCTCTGGCGTCAACGCCCCGGCACTTCGAGCCACGGTCCTGGTTGTTGTCGTGTTAACCGTCATCATCTTTGGTGGAACCACAGCACGCATGCTGGAGATCCTGGGCATCCGAACTGGTGTGGTGGAGGAGCTTGACTCGGATGACGAATTCGACATTGAGGTCACCCACGGAGGAACCTATTACAAGCGCTCCGGTACTGGCCTGGGATACACCCCACGCCGCGCCGACTCGGTCATCCCAATGGATGGCGTGACGCCTGCTGCTCCACGCGCTGGTCTCGGGGAGCGAGCAGACAGCTACTCAAGCGGCAACAACCGCCGCCCAAGTCCACCACATACCCATACGCGCATGTACTCCGCGGCGTACAGCAACAAAGATCAATCCTGGCGTGACCGTTCATCCGCCGCGACTCTACTCGATGGCGACGCTGCCGGCCCAGGCAGTGATGATGAGTTCGGCCTGCCACCCACCGGCACCAGCCGCTCCAACCGACCCGTCGACCCAGACGAGTTCGAGGTCTCTGATGATGACCTCCCGCCTGCCGCAGACGGAGCCTCGCGTCTTCGACGATCAGCCTCCCAACCCCCGGCGCCTTCGCCGCACGCCCGATCCCCCAATGCAGCCTCTACCAGCGTCTCCCCTTCCCGGCAGGGAACAGGCCTCACTGCTCGCGAGGCACTGCGGGATTTATGGTCTGGTGGTGCGTCGGGCGATCATGCAGCTTGGTTCCGCCAGCTCGATGAGGATTATATCAAACCCACGTTGTTGCTAGACCAGTCAAACCACAAAGGTCCCGGGCCTGGGGCGGTTTGAGTTTTATACCTTAGGATGGTGGGTTCTTCTTGCATGTTTCTTCGATCTGGACGTATATTTAGCCTTTCTTGTTTGGGTCTGCATTCTCATGAAGGAACGTTCCTTTTCTCTTTTCTTTGTTCTTTTTCTTTTTCTTTTCTGGCATTCTCGGTCTTTTTCCACCTTCCGAGGATTGGACTGTAACATAAACACACACTATAGCTTTAAAAAGATATTACATTCGCGCAATTCATTCAGTCATTCATCTAACTTATAGAAGGATAACACTGAAATCAATCAAAGTTTCGACTCCGCACTTTAGCCTCGACGTTCCCCACACACCCCGGGGTAAGTTATTTCAACCTCGGACATTACCTTCCAATCGTACCAAAGACTCATACAATAATTGAGACAATCCAACGATCAGGTCAGATCTTAGATATCTATCTACACATCAGATAAAACCGATCACGTAAACCATACCTCATCCCGGAAGATAAGCAAAGCTTCGCCCCTTTCTCCAACATCTCCAACTGCATGATCTTATCGACCACTCGGAACAACTTAAGCTATCTCTAGCAGGGCAAAGTTCAAAGACAAATAACGCTTCCCTGTACCGTATTTGCTTGTACTTGTATGGCGCTATTCTCATTCGAGGTGTACTTGCGCCCATACCGTGTTCGTTCAGCCACTCAATCCTCGATTCTCAATCTAGATAGAGATACAATCAGAGATACTGTAGCTTGTGATGTTGAATCTCTCTCTTGGGATATTACAGAACTTAATTTGATATCTATCGGACAGCCTGATGGTCTGGACGTGATACCTGTATGTAGATGAAGTCTAACTATCTTACAATACTGTATAAGTTAAGTTCCACTGTTTCTGAGGTTGTACATGTACCTACAGTAGGTCACTCGTCACTCTACATACTGTATTTCTCTGCCGGATGGGGCTTTTCTATCTTAGGTAGCTGCTGCTGCTTTTAAAAGGCACTTATCGCTGGGCTCACTACAGCGGAGCCCACTCTATGAGACTCAACATGTAATAACATATCTCTCCCACTAGGTTGAAATACTCTCTACCATGGCCGTCAATTCATTTAGCTCCGGTCGCTCTATAGGGTCTGTACGCATACACGTCTTAACAATCCGATCAAAAGGCGGAGGGGTAAGAGGCCATTCCACTTCCGAAGTCATTGAAACATAGGCAAATATGATGCATTTGATTACAACGCCAATATCATAGATATCGAATTTTTCAGTCCAGCTAGAAGCCAACATATCTTCGAGCACAATCTCAGGTGCACTGAGCTGTCCCCAGCGGCTTTCGAGATCAGCGAGAACCAGTGTCTGGCCGTTAGTTGAAAGCTGAAGGTTTTCGATGTGAAGATCAGGGTAGCCAATTCCCAATGAATGAAGAACTTTCAGGAAAAGGTAATTGAGCGGTATTATCCCGTGGGGTATCACTATGACGAGTAAGCAAAAGGACAGAATGGATGGAAGACTGCTAAGGGTTACTGGTTTCTGGGAGCTTCCAGGTCCAGTCTCTTGCCTCTGCTTTGTTTAAATACCTCTGTCGGCTGTTTGTCCCTTTTTAGAGGGTGACAAGCCCGGCTTCTCTTGGTCGCCGCGGCCCGCCCACCGGAGAACTGATGGATGGAGGACTCCTATAGAGGAGAGAGGGAGAAGGAAGGGATATAAACCACCTGCAGGTGAGAACCGAGCGGTGGCGACCTGCAGATGACTAGCCTATTACGTTTTCTAAGCTGCAATTTCGATAGCCGGGAGCTTATTGGGATGACTGTGATAGTGTCAGCTATATCGGTCGTGCTCTAGATAAACTCAGTAGGGGTTTCCAATGCCTCAGAACAGAGATCTAGCGGAGCCGCAGCAGCATAACTCTGACCAAAAAGGGCAATGAAAAGACTAGTTATTATCATTCTTCTTTTGGCTTAAATAAACTTATATGCAGCGCTTCTAGACATTGAATGTTACACCCAATATACCAATCAATAAACATCGAGATCTACGCGGACTTCATATAGGCCCATATTATATAGATACACCTTACCGTCTGAGGGAAAGCGTAGTATTTGTGTTACCAGTATCTATGGTACATGTACTTCGTGTCTTATTGAGCAAAAAGCGGCAAGGTCGCAGCACTAAAACGGAAAGGGGGCGCTAAGAATGGCAGAGGAAATCCGGTATCTAAGTGCGATAGGTTTACACGGCTTCAGTTCCGCTTCCGCATTAACTTATGCAGCACTTGTATATGTACATGTACCCCTCAGTTGTCCCAGATAGGCAGATTAGATAGCTGATCGTTTCACGGCCAGTCAATATGGAAGGCGGCTAGAAGCTTGTTTGGATTACCCCGTATAAGTATTATTATAAGCCGAGCTGTCCCACGGGTTCTAGCTTTTATCTTTTCGTACTTTTTCTTCCTGTTGCTTATTTATATTCGATCTTATCCTAGTGCGGCTCTTTATCGAGGATAGATCTTGTGTCGGATGAGCATTCCTACATCTTCTCCGCTCTCTGCTTCGACCATCAAATTTCGTGTTTCCATCTAGTTACCTCAATTATCGCAATTATGGCCGATATACTAGAGAAAGTTATGTCTCACAAGAAAGCTGCTTCGGTGGCTACGGGGCGTGACTCGAAGCCGCAGGCCGGGGATACGGAGTTGTTAGGTATGTCATGCCTATTCCCTTGCTGGAGTATGTAAATGTAACTGAGGCTAACTGTTTGATAGCAACACTGGGGTACAAGCAGGAATTGCGACGTCATTATTCGACAGTTGAGATATTCGCTGTTGCGTTTAGTATTATGGGACTTTTGCCTTCTATTGCTTCGACTTTGTCGTTTTCTATGCCTGCTGGTCCAGTCGGTATGGTTTGGGTGAGTAATATGCGCCCTATCAATTGCTTTGATTTGTTACTTACTGATTTTTAGGGTATGTAATTCTTTTCGCGGGGTATAAGTTCTCTGGTACTAATACATTCTGACAGGGTGGCTGGCTGCAAGTTTCTTCATTTTTATTGTCAGTTTGGCAATGGTATGTTTGCTTCTTCTATACAGCTCTGTAGAACAGCCCAATACTGACAGCATTCAACGCCAGGCCGATATGGCATCTGCAATGCCCACAGCCGGAGGTCTATATTTCTGGACGCATTACTACGCAGCGAAGAAATGGAAGAATCCACTTAGTTTCCTGGTGGGATATAGCAACACCCTCGGCTTGGTAGGAGGAATCTGCTCCATCGATTGTCAGTCGAATCCTCCTTTTCTTCCCAAGTGCTCCTTCCTAACAAAAATCCCAGACGGATTCGCAAACATGCTCCTCTCCATGGTCTCTATCGCGCGGGATGGCAACTGGACGGCCACGAGACCAGTCATCTACGGTACATACGTGGCAACAGTCGCCGCGCACGGCTTTATCGCCATATTTTTTGGGCGAGCAATGCCGAAGATCCAGTCCGCGTGTATATTCCTCAACATCGCTCTAGTCGTCGCTACTGTTATCGCCCTGCCAATCGGAAAGGCTCATAACAGTCCACCCGTGAACTCCGGCTCTTATGTCTTCGGCGAGGTCCAGAACTATACGACTTGGCCCGCGGGCTGGGCATTTATGTTGGCGTGGCTGTCCCCTATTTGGACTATTGGTGCGTTTGATTCTTGCGTGCATATGAGTGAAGAGGCTACTCATGCTACCCGCGCTGTGCCATTGGGTATCATTGGTTCGACTGGATTGTGTGGTATTCTTGGGTTTGTCTCTCTGGCTGTTATTGCTTCTTCGATGAGTAAGGATATCGAGGGTATTTTGGGCTCGAAGTTTGGTCAGCCTATGGCTCAGGTTTGTTCTATCTTTGTTTCTTTCTTCCCAAAGTCGATACCCTAACCGTTTCCTTCAGATTTATTATGATGCCCTCGGCAAGAACGGTGCGCTTGGATTCATGGCCGTGACTATGATCGTCCAATTCTTCATGGGGCTTAGTATCGTAAGTCATCACACAACCCAACAATCCACCACTATACCACCCACTAACGAAACAAAAGGTCCTAGCAGCATCCCGCCAAAGCTGGGCGTTTTCCCGCGACGGCGCCCTCCCTTTCTCCAACTATTTCCGAAAAGTAAGCCAACACAACCTAATGCGCTACCAACCCGTCCGAATGGTCTGCGGCATAGTCGCCGCATCCATAATCATTGGCCTCCTTTGCCTTATCGACAACGCAGCAGCAAGCGCCCTGTTCTCCCTCGCCGTAGCTGGCAATGACCTAGCCTGGCTAACGCCTATCCTGTGTCGCTTGCTTTGGGGTAATGAGAGCTTTGTTCCTGGTGAATTCTATACGGGGAAGTATCTCAGTAAGCCTATTGGCTGGGTTGCGGTTATTTATATGGTTTTCGCTATTGTGCTCTGTATGATTCCGACTGAGGGTCCCAATCCTTCGCGTAAGTTTCATTGTTCTTCCCTTGGTTGGTGTGGGAATGGTTTTGCTGACTTGCTTGTATAGCTTCGACTATGAACTATACCGTTGTTATTAATGGTTCGCTTTGGGTTTTGGCTTTACTTTATTATTATGTTTATGCGAAGAAGACTTATAAGGGGCCACAGACTACTGTTAGTCCTGAGGATGAGGGCATGGCTACCCATGTAGATATAGATACTAAGTAGGGGGACGTCGAGGGTCACATATTAACTTCGTTTGGAACAACGCATAGAATTCATAGAGACAATGCGAACTAGTAGAATGTAGCGGGCATACCCAGTACATCTTCAAACCACTGATCATCGCCCAGATCCATCGATTGCATCCAAACCATCTGATCTAGATTTGGAATTTGGTGATTGTGGCAGTTTCTGTCAGGATTGACCTCCTCGTTCTGTATATGAGAAGCTATGTTCCACCGTGCTTCAGCCCATGCCCGACATCTGGTTAAAAGCTTGGACAAGTACTTGAGTAAATGGTCGTTACACTGAAGTTCCGGCTCTTTGCTGCTGAGGTCGAGCTTCTGAAGTATACAGTCTATCGTCGATATTAGGTGAACTGTGTTTCTCACTGCTTGGCAGTCCCATTCGGGATCTTGGAGTGTCGATAGATATTTCAAAAGCGTGATACTCAAAATCATCTGAGACCAAAAGTGGAAGGGCTGGCCGACAAGTTTCGAACAAGGGATCAGGTAGAAATGGTCCAGCCAGGATTTAATATTCTCAACTGACTGCCATAATCGCTCGAGGCGTTCGAATCCTCGTATCCCACCGTCGCCTCTTCGTCCGGATAAATTTAGAGGAAGTGAGTCCTGACTTATGGAATATGCGAGTTGATTTATGTATAATTCAACGTATTGCGCGTGTGTATTGAGGATGTCTGTATGGTAAGCCTGGGTTTCCCCCAAGCGAAGATATCAGCAATCCCGAGCGGAGATAATCCGACACCCCTTTCGCCTGAGAGGTTACTTACCTATCTGTTGAGTATCAATGTCAAATGAAGATCTTAGCTCATGCAACTCTCTTCGCAACGTCTTGATATACAATATGCGAGGAGCGGAGGCCGCCACAGGAGCTGTTCCTGTACGAGCGTAGTCTGTCTCGTCCTGTTGTCGGAGATCGTCCGCTCTTTGCTTTAACAGCTGCAAGCGTACTTGAGAGACAAATAGCTTATCTCCAGGACATGTCTCGTTTATTGTGATGACTTGAAGAGCCTCTTCCATCTGATGCGTCCATCTTATAGCATCTTGACGTCCGAGATGTGACGACATACTAGAAATAGCCATACGTTAGCACGGCTTGAGCCAAATAACAGAGACTGCAGTGAAGTTTAATAGAAAATTTGGAAGGCGATGCGCACTTAGAGCTCAAAATGAAGCATGCCAATATTGCCCGCTGTTTTTCCAATAAGCCGTTGAGTGTCTCATCGTCGGGGCTCTGGCTATCATCAGCCCGCCCTTGGGTAATAGTCATCATAAGTTGTACGTCGAGCGAGGATGGTTTAAACAGCCGCAGGTCATATACTAGTGAAATGGCGAGCATCATGAGGCGAGATATGAGATCCGCTCTGCCAAGAAAGGCATCGGTACTCCATGCCAGATACGTTAGTAGCCCAAGCAGCAGGTCAATATTTGACTGGACTTTTAGAAAAGCAGATGTGAACAGGAGACGTTTCAGCTCCTCGACGTGGGACAGTCTTTCTTGAGTCGAGAATGTGGCAACAGTATGAATGGCTTGGAACAAAAAAGGCCTGTTTTGGCGTAGATACCAGCTCGTCATGTCTGGTGTAAGATCCATGAAAGGGAAGGATGGCAGCAGGCGGGATCGAAAGAAATCAAGCCGCTCATCTGCTTGATTTGGCGGAGCAGGTGGAGACAGAGAATAGTGGTGAGATAGGAGTAGAGGATTTGGATTCGGTGATACTGTGGTGAACGAATCCGTCGTGAATGCCAGCCCCTCACACGAATTCAGATGAGTGCCGGTGTTTACTAGAGTGCTCGCATAAGAAGTAGATGATGAAGCGCTGTCTCCATTCAAGGGCATTGGTCGAAGGGCGTTGACTGACGACCCAGGAGCACCTTGGGAGCCGATGAAAGATTGCATTTTATTCAACAAAATCTCCATTTTGTCTTCTAGTCGAGCGATCCGCGTATCGGACTCTTCAGCTGTCTGAACATTACGCCTACGAACCGAGTCTGATGGCTCGCATCGTTTCTTAAGACGGACACATCTAGGAAATTGTTAGCAAATTTCATGAATCAACAGGCTTGTATCACCATGTCACCTTTCACAGTTATCGTCATTGGAGGTGCGCACACACCGGCACTTTGCCTTGTAGCACTGTGTGCAAGCTTGGCCATATGTGCTGGATTGGCTAGAGACTTGTTTCAATCTTCTCATGGTGCTGGCTGGACGAGCAAGCTATGCCTGGAGGTCCGAATATCTCAGTTGACAGGTGTGGGAAACGTTTAGAGACACCTGGGGGTCGAACGGAGGTAACTCCGCCGGGATTCCTTCCTGCGGATTTAACCTTCTAAAGTCCGTTATAGTCTCACCTGGCAACATCCGACCTGATAGATCCATGAATTCTTCCTTGGGTCATATATCTCAGGAATATTCCATACATGTATCCGCAGCGGAATGTGCGAAGTCCGGTCCTGCGGCATTATATCTCTGGTTGCCGCATCGTATATACTCTCCATGAAGCTCCCGAGCTCCTGGGTTCTCGGGGCTTTCAATATCGTGCCCATACAGATAGAAAGACTGTAGCTTTGCTTTGCTTCAATCCATACCATTCCAGCTGAGAGCTCACACGATTTCCCCGTCTTACGGGTGTTCATTTTTCCATGCCCTTTTGCAGCAATGGCTCCGAAAAATAAGGCTGCATGGATTCCTGCGAAAAAGGCTCTACCGTTCGAGGTTGGCGATGCACCGTACACACCTCCTGGCCCGGGCCAAGTCGTGGTCAAGAACACGGCCGTGGCCATTAACCCTTTCGACTGGGTGTTGCAGTACATTGGGCCCGCAGTCGCTGGCTATATTCAATACCCCTTCATCTTTGGGACCGACGTTGCAGGCGAAGTGGTAGAGGTCGGCCCTGACGTGAAACGCTTCCGCGTGGGCGACCGAGTCTCTGGAAGCGCTACAGCCTTAGCTAAGGAGGTCAACTGCTCAGCCGAGGGAGGGTTCCAGCTCTACACCGTGATGCGACAGCACATGCTGACGCCAACTCCTTCCCACATCACCGACGAACAGGCTTGTGTCCTGGGACTGGGCCTCGGGACTGCAGCGTACGGTCTCTTCCACCCCGACTACCTGGCCCTCGATATGCCTCAGATCCCGGCGCCCGTCGACGTCATGGGCAAGTCAGGCAAGCCGCGTGCCGTCATCATTACTGGTGGTGCGTCGAGTGTTGGGAGCAACGCCGTGCAGCTTGCCGTGTCTGCTGGCTACCAAGTCCTGTCCACGTCATCTCCCAAGAACTTTGACTATGTCAAGGGCCTCGGTGCAACCCATGTCTTCGACTACCGCAGCAAAACATTAGTCCAGAACCTCCTAGGGGCTCTCGCGGGTCGTGAGCTGGTTGGTGCTTACACTATTGGCCGTGGCGCCGTTGAGGCATGCACCGCCGTTATGAAGAACCATGATGCCAAACTCACCAGGAAGTTCATCGCCGTGGCCGGTACCATAGTATCTCCCACCAAGCTCACGACATTTGTTGGCAAGGGAACATACTTGATGGGCATGGTGGGCAGCATGATCAAGTCGACCGGGACGCGCCTCACGACTGGGGTCGAAGCCAGATTCATTTTTGTCAATGACCTAGTCAACCCCGACAGCGTCGTGTCTCGCGTCTACATGGATTTCTTGCCACAGGCGCTTGAGCGGGGCCAGTTTGTGCCAGCACCTCCGCCGCATGTTGTGGGCAACGGCCTGGACAAGATACAAGAGGCTTTGGATCTTCAGAGGCAAGGTGTCTCGGGAAGGAAGCTTGTCGTGATGCTATAGTTGAGTACTTTAGAGAACTAGTAAGCAAAGAAAGAGAGTGGCCTCCATGAGAAGCAATCTCGAGTCCAAAGCTGTATGTAAAATAATTTTAAGAGAGATAGAATAAGATGGTATCAATGTATTGTGCACCGTCCAGGTGCAGTGGCTATGCTCAACCAGCAGCTGAGCCAGGATGACGAGAGGCGACAAGAGCACGAAAACAAAACTTCAAAACTTGCCAAAAAAAAAAAAAGAAGAAAAAAGAAGAAAAAAAGATGGCCATCCTCTGCCTGTACGGCTGTCTGATAAGGCCATCAGTTCAAAACTAATTCTGCCGCATATTTATTACTAACACTGCCACCGCTATATACCAATACAGTCGACTTGCTTCTTCCACTATTAAGGCTACTAATCCTAAGCGCCACGTAAAGGTGTAAGTTATTGCTTGGGACGCTGTATATAGGTATCCCGTACGGCTATGGTGTAGTGGAAGTAAGAAAAAGAAAGAAATAGTAGTCCTTTCTTGGTCGGAGAGGTTAATAACCTCGCGGTTATAGATACCGTTATCTAGTATGATCGGACGGTTAATTATAATAAAAACTTTTAGAAAGTAAGATAATATAAACTTACTCTTCGGTTTGCGATAGGCGGTCTAAAAAACGGTCTAAAAAACGGTCTATCTAATAGTGTTAAAACATTTGCTATGTCACTATAGAAGAATAGCTTTCGTACGAAGCTGTAATTATCTAAGGCGGTAATAGAGACGGTAAGTGAGGCGGTGGGAGGTTTGCATGGGGAAATTAGTTTTGAGCTGATGGCCATAACGTAATTCACTACCGAGCCGGCCACACCACCGAGTCGGCCACTTCAGAACACCATAGTTAAGGGGATAAATTACAGTACTATATCCTAACAATAGGGACTTATATATATTTCATATTAAAAGGTCATGTTCCAGATACATAGTATAACACTTCGACAAAGTTTAGGGGATTTTTATGATAGACTATTCAAGATATATATATCTGTAGCTGAAGTAGCTAAATTACATTGTAATTTATGGTATCATCGTTATCTGATTTATTGATTCGCTTGAAAGTTCTAGAGATGTTAGGATATGCTTATCAATATATATATGTAACTAATTAACGGAATTGAAGTTATGGTTGTTAAGATATAAGTTTATCAAAAACAGCCTTTAACTATGGTGTTCTGAAGTGGCCGACTCGGTGGTGTGGCCGGCTCGGTAGTGAATTACGTTAATAAACTACCGTATGCCTGATACTCCAGGCTACGTTATGCCTCTCTTCCCAGCCCTATCTATGTGAATATTTAAAATTGGCCGAGTCATTAAAAAGTATTATTAAGGTTCTTTAGACTATCGTCCCCAGATCTATCGTGGTTAGCGCCGGTTTTTCAGTTGTTACGACGTGATAAAAGCTCTTGGGGTATATATACCACAAGAATCAAAACTATCGAGAACGACGCGCAACGACATCAGCCGGAGGCTTTCCTACTTCCCACCCCCACTACTTCAGCTCTTACCAAATCCTTATCCCCATTTTCAGGAGACTCATTTGTAAAAGCCCGAAGCTTCTTAGCCTTCCGAATATCCTTCCATCCAAGTCCCGGAGAAAAAACCAAAACAGCAATGCTAACAGCAATACCGAGATACATAACATGGTCAATGCTTTTCGCGTACGCCTCAAGCACAGCTGTGAGCTCTGGTCCAGATACCAGATCACGAATGGAGCGGACTCCAGCAGCAACGATAACGTCTGGAGAATGTCCAATCAGCGCAGCGCGCTGCTGAAGCTGCTTCCGAAGGCTGTTGCTGAAAATGGCGTTTGCGGCAATCAGAGAGGTTGAAGCCCCTATGTTTTGCCAGAAGATTATAATGGCCATGGCGAGAGAAATATGCTCCGTTGATACGAGGTTTTGGATGGCGATGTAGGGCTACAGTGGAGACTTGCGGATCAGTGGACGGGGTCTTTTTTCTGCGAAGCACTCGGTTTGAACTTACAGCTGCCGCTGTACAGCCACTTGAGATTCCGTAGAGAATCTGGTATCCTATCCACTTTGCGGCTGGGGTTGTTGGACTTAAGGTTGATAAGAGGCCGTAGCCGATGGCTGATATTGCTCCCCCTGCGAGAAGGAATGGGAGATAGAAGCCCAAAACAGAGACTGTGTGGTATCATCAGTCGCAAAGATCTTCGCGAGAGACCGAAAATCTATAATCGGAGATACTTACTCAGAACACCTGAAACCATAGTAAACATGACCAAGCCGAGCGTAATTGGGAGCATATGCACTCCACTCATCAAGGGCGAGTCGTCAAGGATCGCTTGGAAGTAAATTGCAATATAGAAGTCAGCCACAAGAACACTGGACAAGCTGAAAAACATGGTCATTGCAGCCGACCAAATGACCCGGTGTTTGAGCATGGCAAATGGCACCATGGCATCGTCGCCCTGGCGATACTCCCAGACCAGAAAGAGCCCAAAAGTGACGGCAGCGCCAGCCAGCAAGCCAATCACCACTGAACTATCCCAGGTGTATTGGTTTCCGCCAAACTGGAGTCCCAAAAGAAACATGACGACCGCGGGGCAAATGAGCATGAACCCTGGGAGATCCAGAGACTTGATGGCGGTGCTGAGAATCTTCAAGGGTGGACTTTTAGGTTTATGTTCGGGGATAGTGTTGAAGAGAAGGAATCCGCCCACTATCACTCCCAGAGGGAGGTTGATGTAGAAGCCTAACAGAAAGACGTCAGTTTTTGGGGGTTTTCAAAGTGCATATGAGGTAACTCACACCACCGCCAGGACACATTTGTAGTAAAGGCCCCTCCAATAATAGGCCCCGTCGCAAGGCCCAGCTGACCCATACCCATATTCAACCCCATGAAGAGCGCCTGCTTCTTTGTTGGGAGGACTGCGGAAATGGTGGTTACGGCGCCGTTAGCTACCCCAGCAGACCCTATCCCTGAGATGACACGGCCGACAATGAACATTGGCGACGACTGGGCCGCTCCGCATATGGCTGATCCAATTTCGAATATAACAAAGAAGACAAGGAACGTCCACTACATGATGAATTTGTCAGCATTTAGATCAAGTGCAAGCATGATGCGTGAGCCCTAGGCCAAGGCACACCTTTATAGAGAACTGGCTGTAGACTTTCCCGCTCAAAGGCTGGAATGCGGCACTTCCAAGCTGATAGGCACCGCCATACCTGAGCACAAGAGATCAGCAATTTACGAAAATAGATAGCAGTGGTGCTCAAGACAAGTCAATGGAGCTTACCAGCCGACGTCAACTAACGAGTCGAACTGGGTTGTAATTGCCGGGGTGGCTGTGGAAATGACGGCCAAGTCGAGGAAGAATAGAAAATAGGCCAGGGTAACTGATGTGAGGATAAGAGTCACCGACAACCATGTAGGATACTCCAACTTGGGCTCTGTATCAGTGATGGAGGTGCTTTTCTCGGCATTGATTTGCTTCTGTGCCGGGATTGTCTGCCAGGGTTCGGAGGGGTCTGTAGGAGGTACATGTAGAGTATGAGATTTTGTCTCAGTCATTATAAAACTTGAGTTTTGTCCAGATTCTGTGATTAAGATATTTGACATTATGGTCAACCATATGAGAGTGACATTTCCTTTGTTTATAAATGCAATGCATCTTCATTGCAGATTGGACTCCGTATTATAGAGTAAAACGGAGTCGATTTCCGAATTCCGAATCCAATCTAATTTTTCCTGTGGCAGGTGTTTTATAGGTACATTATCCATAATCTTGTTGAAACTATGTTGAGACTTTATTAATAATCTATATCAGGCCCCGGAATGTACAGTAAAGCGGAGTCTGCGGCCGAAATCCGGACTCAATCCAGGTTCACCTGCAGGAAACTACATCTTGGAGTGATGTAACCTCCGTGTCTGGTTTGGTCAGAATACAGGCGAATGGCCACAGGAAATAGTAGAACGTAGGTAAACTATGATGCAGTTTATTAAGCATTTATGATGATAGCTAGACAACAATGAGGCAACTAGCGTCACAGGATATCCATACACCACTAAGATACCTTAGATCGGGAAAAAGGCTCAGAAATAGAACCCCACTCCGTTAACGGCCAGCTGGATTGCTGGATTGCATTCAACACGGTCATGCCCGGTATCGATCTCACAAAACCTCATGTTCTATCTGCAAAGACGCTGAATCTATTCCGGGATCTCGAGGACGTAGCGACCAGCAATCTTTCCTTGCTCTGTAGAACCGGTTAGCATGTGCAGAACATTATAGTAGGGATACCGAAACCATACCCATGAGCTCGAACACTGCCGGCAATTCCTTCAGAGGAACAGTCTTGTATGGAGCCTTGATCAAACCACGCGCAAAGAAGTCAACAGCCTCAACACCATCTTGGCGGTTACCGACGTAGCTGCCCTTGATGTTGATCATCTTGACAACGGTGGTAAAAACGGGAGCCTTGAGGAATGCATTGGCGGGCATACCGATAGCAACGATCGTGCCACGGGAACGGGCATACTCGACAGCCTGCTGGAAAGGCTTCTCAGAGACAGCAAGAAGGAGCACAGCATGGGCACCCAGGCCTCCGGGAGTAGCGGCCTTAACGTCTTCGACGAGGTCCTTGGACTTGGTGAAATCGATGTAGGCCTAGACAAAATATTAGCTCAAGCTCACACCAAAGCAGAGCAAAGAATGATATTATACCTCAGCACCGAGCCGCTCGCACATACCTCGCTTCTCATCTCCACCATCAATAGCAATAACGCGCAATCCCATAGCCTTAGCATATTGCTGAGCCAACGAGCCAAGACCACCTCCAGCACCAACAATAGCAACAGTCTGACCAGGCTTCGCACCAGACTCCTTGAGACCTTTGTAAACAGTAACACCGGCACAGAGAATAGGAGCAACAGCATCAAGGGCGACCTCCTTCGGCAACTTGGACACATGCGCCGCCTTACCAATAGCATACTGCTGGAAGGTACCGTCAACCGTGTATCCAGAGAGCTCAGCATCAGGACACAGAGGTTCATCAGAGGTCTTGCAGAACTCGCATGCCAAGCACGATCCATTCAACCACTTGATACCCGCGTGGTCGCCGATCTCGATGCCCTTGGCCAATTCACCTTTGGCGACGACGATGCCGGCGCCTTCGTGGCCGCCTACTAGGGGTTGCTTGAGGGGTAGGGGCCAGTCGCCTTTCATGGCGTGTAGGTCTGTGTGGCAGACGCCGCTGTAGCGGACTTTGATGAGCACTTCATCTGGGCCGGGCTTTGGGACAGGAATTTGTTTGTAAACTGGTGGTCCGCCCTTTTGCTCGATGACTTGGGCCCACTGCATGTCGGGGATGGCGGGGGGACATGTTGGTGGTTGGTGGTTGGTGGTTGTCCACGGGTTGGTTGAGTGTAGGTGTAGGTGTAGGTTGATGACGTGAAAACTAGGATGTGGAGGAAGTAGAATTCGAAATAGAAGTGGGAGTAGAAGTGTGTAAGGTATGAAGTAAGGATGTTTGTAACAATTGTAAAAGACAATGTTGAACAGAGAAGGGAAAGAGAACTTGTTCTTATACAACGTGCCAATGTATGACAAGCCACATTGCCTGACCATGAGAATGATATTTTCCCGGATTCCAGCATCCGATCAAGTGATCCGGTTTTCCGACAAGAAATACCTTGAATCAGTGCCTGTCTATCCCTCTGTGGGTATCATCTACCTACGTAGTCCATCCGCATCCGCTTGCATACGCAGCCCCCTTCCTCCCCGGTCATGCCCAGCCACCTAGACTTCGCACGGCAGAGCTTTAACGGGGATTGACAGGGTCAATCACTCCACAGTATCGGCCGGAGGGAAAGGAAACAGCTACTCCATGCCACAGACCCCGGTCTCACCTGCAGCCCACAGGAACCTGGTGCAGCGCCTACAGCGGCCCCTCATTTGATACAAGAGAAACGTGATCTGGAGAGAGAGCCGAAGGGACGTCGTTTGGATATGATTTGACTGTGCCGGATCCGATTGACCTGCTTCTTACCCCCACGTTGTGCTGATGGGGAGTGGAGGACGTCACCACCGGGCATAAGTACGAAGATCGCCAGGACTGTGTTTCATACTCAAGAGGAAGGCGGGAGCTCTGTTTTGCGGGATCATAAAGGAGAATATAATCAAGGGGCATCTGATGATAGACATATTCCTAATGCCTCAGTGCGCGAACACCTTGGGGGAATCGCGATCTTATGACTGTGGATCCGATCTGGGGAGATGACATGCAGACATGTCGGACTCGGGGATTCAGGTTGAATCGTGTTAGTTTCCTATAAGTTAGTCTATATTCACGTAGTGCTTTAACTTGGTGTGATTATATCTGTTCAGTACAAATTGTGCATGCCATATGCCTCCTTTCGGGGCGGGAGCTGTACCAAGTATATATAGTCAGAATGTATTAGCTAAAATTTATCTCTAGATAGCTATTTCTAAAGTAATAGCTTCAGTGTCCTTGTAATCTACCAAATTGGACTATATTGGGGCAATGAATGGACTAAAATTAGGTATTGGCGCGATCTAATAATCGCGCAAAATGATAAGACACCCGAATCTCACGATCACATTTCTCGGAGGCAGATTCGGAGGAGGCAACTCCTAATTAGCCAAATCATCACCTCCGTTAGCATCTGAACCGAATTCACATGGTCAAATTGTCGTAGTTCTGTGCACTACCACCACCACCTCTCCACATCCAAGCTTCGGCGTGTTTGTATGGACTCGGAACTGAGATCGGAGCAGTGGGAGTCGACGAAAAGCATCAAAAAAAAGAAGACCGAAGAAAAACCAAGACGGTGCATCTACATAGAAACGCAATACAACTGAATACTCAAGCAGTAGAGGGTTGTGGTAAACACCGGATCTAAGCCCCGGCTGATACCCCAGACGAAGCGATTCAGAAGGAAGAGAGTAACTCCCGTTTCTCCCCTCCCTTCATCTCATCTCCCAACTTCACACTTTGTCAACTTTGTCAACTTTCTCAATTTTCCTTTTTCCTCCCACTTCCTCTGACCCCCTCGCCCTCTCCTCCCTGCATCTCGCCTAGGCCCAGCCGCGCATTCTCTTTCTTGGACTCCACGGAAACTTCCTCTCCTGCATCTTCCCACCACAAACGAACCCATCCGTCCATCAGGTATTTCTGTCTCGCTTTCTTTCTCCATCGCTTTCTTTCATCTACCTACACTCCGAAACCACACCTTCACCTATGAACCAAACCCACTGACCTCGCGTCCACGCTAGGCCTCCGAAACCCCTTGACTGGTGTCTCTTGCACCCAGGGTCTCTCCCAGGTGCCTCAATTCCTTGGACCTCAGCTCCTCCCAAGTGACCAAGTCTTCGACGCGCTCGACCCGCATCGGGGACCGCGGCCATCATGACGGGCGCTCCGCCGTACAACGCCCAGTCCCCGACTCAGCAGCATCGGTACGCTGCCTACAGCTCGCCCAACAAGAACCATCCTTATTATCCAAACAATGAACAACCGCCGCAGCAGTACCACCAGCACCCGCCGCAGACACCTCCCGCATTCGGTCCCTCGTCCGTCACGCGAAGCCCTCACTTTTCGCACGCGTCCTCGCCAATGCCCTCTGCGCTGCCGCCGCCCTTGAATGGAACGGCGCCACCGCATCCCCCTCATCCGGAATCTTCGTCGCAATACCAGGGACATCCAGCTGGGGGCCAACTTCCACCGCCGCGCCCTTATGGGGCCTCCGTGCTTCCCGGCAACGGCATCTCACCTTACGGCACATCGCACGGCCATCCATCCAGCCGCCCAGACGGCCATTCGCAATCCCCTACCAGAGAATCCGAGTCTCCATACCGCGTGAGAGGCAATGGTGTTTCATACGGGCATTCGATGATGCGAGAGCCGAGACCTGTTTCGCCCGCCCAGGAAACTGTACGAATCGTCCCAGTTACTCCATTAGCCTGTGATTTACTGATATTTTCTCCACTTAGAAACCTGCTAGAGCTGCCGACCCGATGTCTTTCGCCAGCATCTTGTCCGGACCGACAGATGAACAGCCCGCGAGAAAACCGTCCCCTCCGCCTGCCCCCATGTCCATCCCAGCGCCTCACACTCCCTCCGTTTATGAGCACAGACACATGGACCATCTCCATGCCCCAGGAAACATATACCCCAGACCTGAAAAAAGGGTCATGGAATCCTACATGGATGGCCCCAGAGGACCACACGCCCCTAACGGGTTCGCCAAACCCGAATCGGAATTGCTTAGTATGGCCCCTCGTGCACCACCTCGGAAGCCATTCCCGCCTGGCGTGGACTTGGAGCAAGTCAACCGCGCCGCGGCTGAGATCGATCAAGCCGAAAAGAGCGACGTTGAAGACCCTAGCTTCGATGCGGAACTCGGACGGTATCGGGAGAAAAGCTACAAACGGTCCCTGGATAGCAGCCGTGCAGAGCAAATCCGGAGAAAGGTAGGCATTCAGACACATATTTTCTTTTTACCGTTATACTAATGTGTTATTAGCGCCGCCGCAACGAATTCCTGCTCGACCTCGGCAGATCCTTCGAAAAGCAGTCCATTCTTGGCAACGAACGATTCCGAGCGCTCAACGAAGGTGCCGTCATGGCCGAAGTTCAACAGAAAGAGGTTCAGGACGAGAAGGAGCGCAAGAAGGACATGCAGCGGAAGCGCCGTCGCGAAAACACGGTGCGCCAGGAAATGCAGAAGAAGCTAGAGGCCGAGCGCAAGGCAAGCAAGGCCCTAGAGCCCGGCGAGAAAGCCAAGTTCTTGCGCGAAGCCGAGCGAGCGCAAAAGAAGATCCGAACCACGAAGCGCGCCCTGGAGGGTGGCAACGCTCAGGATGAGCTCGGCGAGATTACTCCCCTGGCTCCTAACCTTGAAGGTGGGACGATCAGTCAATTCCATATTGGCCGGTCCTCTCCCAGTCGGCGTAGGTCTGGCCGCGCTGGCCCTAGTACTCGTCCCAAAAAGTCCAAGGAGCAGAAAGAGCGCGAAAAGCAACTTGCCGAGGATGCCTGGATGGACGGTTACGGTGACGATCTATACCTCACCCCCAGGAGGGACGCCGGAGCCTCGAAGGAGGGTACCCCGATGTCGCAACTGCATTACGACAGCAAGGGCTACAACCAGATCTATGAGCAAATTTGGCGTGATATCGCACGCAAGGATATTCCCAAGGTCTATCGCATCAAGACCACTTCTCTCTCCACCCGGCAAGAGAACTTGCGCAAGACGGCACAGCTAGCCAGCAAGCAATCCCGCAAATGGCAAGAGCGCACGAACAAAAGCACTAAGGACACCCAGGCCCGTGCTAAGCGAACCATGCGTGAAATGATGTCATTCTGGAAGCGTAACGAGCGCGAGGAACGAGACTTGCGTCGCGTGGCCGAGAGGCAGGAACTTGAGTCGGCCAAGAAAGCAGAGGCGGACCGTGAAGCCAACCGACAGAAGAGGAAGCTCAACTTCCTTATATCGCAGACCGAGCTGTACTCCCATTTCATTGGTCGTAAGATTAAAACCGACGAGGCACAGGGAGACGGCGCTGTCGCACCTACTGGCGAGACTGTCCAACCAGGCAAGCAATCTGCACACACGATCAATCTTCCTAACAGTGTAGCCAATCCCAATGCCAAAACCACTGCCTTCGAGGATCTCGACTTCGATGCCGAAGACGAAACGGCGCTTCAGCAAGCCGCCATGGCAAATGCACAGAACGCCGTGCAGCAAGCTCAGGACCGTGCTCGCGCCTTCAACCAGGAGGGTGATAATATGGCTGCCTTCGATGATGGCGAGATGAACTTCCAGAACCCCACTAGTCTGGGTGACATTGAAATCTCTCAACCCACCATGTTGAATGCCCAATTGAAGGAGTATCAATTGAAGGGTCTCAACTGGCTTGTCAACTTGTACGAGCAGGGAATCAACGGTATCCTGGCAGATGAAATGGGTCTCGGTAAAACCATCCAGTCCATCTCAGTCATGGCTTACTTGGCCGAATTCCACAACATCTGGGGTCCATTCCTGGTCATTGCACCTGCATCAACCCTTCACAACTGGCAGCAGGAGATTACTCGCTTTGTACCGAACATCAAAGTTCTGCCGTACTGGGGTAATGCCAAGGACCGTAAGATCTTGCGAAAGTTCTGGGATCGCAAGCACATCACCTACAACCGGGATTCGGAATTCCACGTTCTAGTAACCTCGTACCAGCTTGTCGTTCTTGATGCCCAGTACTTCCAGAAGGTGAAGTGGCAGTACATGATTCTGGACGAAGCTCAAGCTATAAAATCTTCTCAAAGTTCGCGATGGAAGAACTTGCTGGGTTTCAGCTGCCGCAACCGTCTTCTGTTAACTGGTACGCCAATCCAGAACAACATGCAAGAATTGTGGGCACTGCTTCACTTCATTATGCCTACTCTATTTGATTCCCACGATGAGTTCAGCGAATGGTTCTCCAAGGACATTGAGTCCCATGCTCAGAGTAACACCAAGCTCAACGAGGATCAGCTCAAGCGTCTTCACATGATCTTGAAGCCTTTCATGTTGCGTCGTGTGAAGAAGAATGTCCAGCAAGAACTTGGTGACAAGGTTGAGAAGGACATCTTCTGTGACCTGACTTACCGCCAGCGCGCCCTGTATGCCAACCTTCGGAACCGTGTTAGCATCATCGACCTTATTGAAAAGGCTGCTACCGGTGACGACACTGACAGCAGCACCTTGATGAACTTGGTTATGCAGTTCCGAAAAGTTTGTAACCACCCCGATCTTTTCGAGCGTGCAGAGACCAAGTCTCCATTCTCTGCTGCATACTTCGCGGAAACTGCTTCTTTCGTTCGCGAGGGAAGCTTTGTTGATGTACGCTATTCGACTAAGAACTTGATCGATTACGAGCTGCCGCGTCTGTTGTGCAGTTCTACTGGCCGGCTTGATATTCCTGGCTCTGATAACCCTCGTGCCGGTTTCCAAACAAAGTATCTGTCGCAACTGATGAACGTCTGGACACCCGAAAACATCCAGAAGAGCGCCAAAGAGAACGGTGCATTCTCGTTTCTGCGTTTCGTTGACACCTCTGCGGGAGAAGCCAGCGAGCTGTCACGCCTTGGTCCCTACGAGCGCGCTGCTCGTCGTCGTGGCAAGTTAAACCGACTGTCGCGCTTGCATGTTGTCTACGACGAAGGCGAAGATAAAGAGAACTCGGTGCTCTCTCATTCTATGTTGAATATTGTTGAACGGAATGATCGCAGTGCTGTACAAGATATTGCTGTTGAGGGTCGGATGCGAGACTTGATGACCGTCTCCCGTTCGGCATTCGAAGGCCAAGGCCTACACCTAATTGAGCCATGCGCTGCTCCTAATGCCTCAGCGCCCCCTATCACCGTGTCCTCGTCTGGTCAACAGGCAACGAGAGAATTCAACGACGCTCTGTTCAATGCATCTGTCCGACAAGCGCTGTCTGGCCACTCAAGCAGGCAACTCGAGGAGCAGATCCTTGCCCAAAAGTTGGACCCTACGCCTTACTCTCACCCACCTATGCTGCCGGCTCCGCTCTCACTCAAGGGACGTTACAATCACATCGAGGTTCCCTCGATGCGTCGCTTCGTGACGGACTCGGGCAAGCTGGCGAAGTTGGACGAGCTATTGCGTGAGCTCAAGCCTGGTGGCCACCGTGTGCTTCTGTACTTCCAGATGACGCGCATGATCGATTTGATGGAAGAGTACCTGACATACCGAAACTACAAGTACTGTCGACTGGACGGAAGCACCAAGCTGGAAGACCGTCGCGACACTGTCGCCGATTTCCAAACAAACCCGGAGATCTTTGTCTTCTTGCTGTCAACTCGTGCTGGTGGTCTTGGTATCAACTTGACTGCCGCCGACACTGTCATCTTCTACGATTCCGATTGGAACCCTACCATCGATTCACAGGCCATGGACCGTGCTCATCGTCTGGGTCAAACCCGCCAGGTTACCGTATACCGTCTTATCACCCGTGGCACCATCGAAGAACGTATTCGCAAGCGTGCCCTGCAAAAGGAAGAGGTGCAGCGTGTCGTCATTACTGGTGGTGCCGCTGGTGGTGTCGACTTCAACACCCGTGCTCGCGAGAACCGCACCAAGGATATTGCTCTGTGGCTTGCCGACGACGATGAAGCCGAACTCATCGAACAAAAGGAGAAGGAGGCCATCGAACGTGGCGAGACCCTCGGTGTCAAGGGCGGAAAGAAGGCTGCCGCAAAGCGCAAGCGAGACCTTACACTTGATGACATGTATCATGAAGGTGAGACCCACCCAATCCTGATTTGGAAACTACATACTAACCAGTCGACTTATAGGTGAGGGTAACTTTGACGATGCTAGTGCAAAGCCTTCCGGGGCTGCCACACCTGCAGAAGAGTCTCTCGACACGCCATCAGCAACACCAGCAAAGCGCGGCCGCGGCCGTGGTCCGGGCAAGGGCACTTCAAAACGCGCCAAGACCACAAAGGAGCGCCTGCGCCTGATTGATGGCGACGGCGGCCTCGATTAATAAAAAAATCGATGACTGTCAATTAATGCAAACCGGGACCGGCGTTCATGTCAAAGCTTTTGTATCTGTTTCTGTTTTCCATGTTTGTCTCTGTGCTTTTACTTTACCTTTTTTTCCCGTTGTCTTTACCGGCTGTTACCATTCTTTCCCACTTGTTTCCTATATCATCTTTTTTTCTCGCCTTCTTCCTTTTCTTATCTCCTCTTCTCTTTCTCAATTGGCAGACATGTGAACATGTGAAAACCTGCACTGTATTATCATACAACCCCTTGACTTTGACGTTGGCTATGTTCCGGACTGGCGAATGTTGGATTATGGACATTTGAGTTTTTTGAAAGACTGAACTGACTGCACTCGTGTGACGGTCCAAGAGCAATGGATACTTGATTCCATTATCTATGTGGCAAGGAAGGAAAGACATTCACTGTGATAGACCTGACTTGATCCTTGCTTGGTGTGTTGTGTGTGGCTTTATGGACATGGTATGTTGTGTCTAGGTGTGATCGGTCTCGGTGTGGTTTGATCTTGTTAAGGGGGCCTCTTCTTTTCTTTCTACATTGTTCTTTTTTCACTTTTTTTCACTTTTCCTCGTTGTGAGGCTCAAAAGGGCGTCGAAGAAGTTCTAGTTTGGTTATGAGTGTCAATGTATTGATTCGATGTACTCGTATACTCTTGGTTTCCCTAACTTTGTTGTTCTTTCAAGTTCTTTGTGTCAGCTCCGTTACCCGTAGATACATTAAAAGGTATACGCGCTTTGAAACGAGTAGATCGTATGTAGAGACTGGATACATACTTCATGCTTGGCTCCGTATACACATTTGTAACTTTCGTCGCCGCACATCTCTATATACCCAGCTAGCTACATAGCTTGAAATGGATTTATCTTTACTTGTGCTTCGGAATTCTCGCCTTGTTCTCCCGCAACCTTGGAAATGACTTACCTTGTTGCTGACTTGACACACATTTTTCCCGTTATGGATGTTGAGCTCCTACATACAATACGCTCTTTCCGTCCCTTCACGATCATTCTGAGATGAAGCAGCGCCACCCCTAAATACTGTATTCGGGTATCCATAATCTCTTTAGCTACCTACAGCAAATTATAGATGAGCTGAGATGGAGGTCCCTGTCAAGGTGCCCTAGTCCAATCCTCAAAATCATTGTCATTCCCGGAATTTCTATCATACTCCCAAGCATCTTCTTCAAAAGCGTCGAGGTGTTCATATGAAATGGCGTCCTTTGGCTTAAGAACTTCGCTCCAGGAATCAAGCATTTTGTTTTGTTCGGCACTCCAAGGGGGCACTCCAAAATGGAGCTGGGAGTAAAAATGGGCCAATCAAGTCTCTGAACCTGCCAACAAGCAAAAGCCCATACATAGCCTCTCTTCCATACCTTCTGTTCCATAAGTTACCAGCAAAAAAGTGCAGTCACCATAGCTCATGTGGAAGTACAGCTTCAAAACCCCCGTCATGGCAGTCCACACCCGATTTTCCAAACAATCACAGCAACTGCAGTCGCGAGCGTACACGCAAATATCACGGCCGAAGGCATGAGTGTGCCGATCATCGCCATACTAGTCAATGTCGCAAAGATACCGCTTGCTGGAGTAAATCCACCGTACATGAAGGATTGAAAAGCGGCCGCTAGGGAACCTATAACGTGTCAGCTTGCAGAAGCCCTCGGTTCTCACCCAACGAGCGACACGCGAATATAACAAACCCGTAACAATCCCTCCAGGCCCAAACCCAAGGCACAGTATAATTGTAATGACAATGGAGAAGGTAATCCACCAAGCGGTGATGATTGCGAGAACATCTTTGACCGTCCGTTAATATTATGGTTTTGAAGGAGAAAACTGAATTTCCTCACCAGGACGTGAAAGCCACTCTGAGGCTTTTGTCAACCATGAATCCACTGACCAGGCTTCAGAGAGGATTTCCGCGCTGGACAAGACCAGAGAGCGGTCTGCCACAAATCGATAGAATCCAGCCCCGACAGTCTCAGCCCGCGTGAAGTTCAAGCCTGCTATCAGGAAGCTGAGAGGCGTCATTTGTAGTGCAATGGGTAGAAAACTGGAAGCGCTCAAAAGCAAACTATAGCACGGGGGATAGTGATGCCTGAAGTTCCGCCCAAGGCGCTAAGGGTGAGAACGGGGTAAAATGGGCATCAAAGGCCACGGAGCTAACCCGAATGGGAAGGGAGAAAACTAATCTTAACCCTCAGCATGCTCAGCTGGGGCTTCGACCTCGCTTACCCACCTAAATAAAGAGACTGCTGCGTGGTCTCACATGGTAAGCTTATTCTCTTCTATGATCTTTTCTATAGCTTATGTATCTGTATTCTCTAGGTTAAGCTTTTCTATTTAGAGTACGGTGCACGACAATACCACATCGTGGCTTCACTATCTTTTTATTTCCTAGCTCGTTTTAGCTATTTAATGTTGTTACGAGCCGCGTCCGCTGACTCTGGGTCTTTAAAACCAGATCATATATCATATCTGAGTAGTACCTACCCCGGCCACTTAGGCATCTTATCATCTTAAATAGACGGTGTAAGCGATAGGGCCGTACGGGTATAATTGTTCGCGGTATCGGTTAGGAGATATCGCCTTAGGGTGTTTTGATCGTGATAATGTATAGGCTCGTACATTCATATCTGTGCTTTAACACCCAGCAATGCCTCAGCATTCTTAAAAGCAAACTTCTCCAAATCCTCCCCAGCAATCAACCCACTCTTCTTAACCCTCTCAAAAAACTCCAACCCCTTCTCATTCAAAGAGAAAGGATAATCAACACTATACAAAACCTTGTCAATACTAGTAGTCTGCAAAAGACAAGCGAAAGGCGGCAGCGCAAACATCCCACTTGTAGTAACCCAAATATTCGCATCCCAAACCTCCTTGAAAGACCTCTCCCTCCCCCACCGCGCAGAAACAAGCATAACCCTCTCCAACTGAAACGGCAGCATCTCACCCATATGCCCAATAACAATCTTCAACCGCGGAAACCGATCAAACAACCCACTAGCATAAAGCCGCAGAATATGCGCCGCCGTCTCAGAATGCCACCCCCACCCAAAAGCACTCAACGCCATAGCAACAGAGTCATCGTAATTTCCCTTGTAGTACTCAACCGTCTCCTCAGTCGCCCACGACGGATGGATGTAAATGGGCACGTCAAGCTCCTGCGCTTTCTCAAATATCACCCAGAATCTCTCGTTGTCGTAGAATTTTCCGTTGATATGGTTGTCTACTAAGGCGCCCACGAACCCGAGCTCGCGCGTGCATCGCTCCAGTTCGGCCGCTGCCGCCGGGGCATCGCTCATGGGTAGGAGGGCAAAACCTGCGAGGCGGGTTGGGTTCTTGAAGATTGAGGCGGCGAGGTCGTTGTTTACCTCTTTGCAGAGAGATGTTGGGTGGGTTCCTGGGGCGTGGGAGAGGACTTGGAGGGCGACTTGGCCATTGTCTAGGTCTTGAATCCTTTCTGAGCTGATGCTCTCTAGTTTACGCGTTATATGAGATGGGAACTGGGCGAATTCGTCGTGTGTGCTTGCTGCGCGGACTTTGGGGGAGAGGTAGTGTTCTTCGAGGGTGATGAAGGGCGGCATGGTGGTTTGTCGGTGGTTGTTGGGAATGGCGATGAATGAAGAGGTTTGTTTTAGTTTTGGAGTGTACCAAAAACGGGATTTAGATCGTTCAACTGTGAATTGAGGTCGGGTGCTCTTAAATATGTTGGATATCATGTCGGTGACGTCGGTCTTTAGGGTTGCCCGTCCGAGCTCCGAGCCCTAAATCCGAAACTGTAGACTATAGAGTTGGTCGTTGCGAATCAGATCATCTCACGTCAGACGGTAGGCTTATCAGATTTTATTAGTTAAACAAAATTACTCTTTTTACTTCGTTATGGATGATTCTATCATGACCGCCCTAATTGAAGTCTAAGTAGGAGCCTGGGTGTGTGGAAAGAAACTCCTGTGCACGGGTTGCTGTATATGTGATGCTTTCCTCACTTCACTCTTTACAAGTTCGGGTTATCTTAGTATACTTAGGCTGAGAAGTGAGGTTAATAATCGTGTGATGTCAGGTCCGGAATGACAAAAATGACAGAGCTGATTAGGACCCCTCATGGGTTACCGCTACCTTTTGCTCTCTAATTGACTGAAGGGTTCAGACGGCAAAAGTCTTCCAAAAGGTGCTGTCTCTTAGACTGCCTGGAGATTCAACCAGGTGAGGGATGGCCTATTGATTGTCTGGGTTTCCACCGGGGACCAGGGGGAGAGGTGGCCAGGTCACGTGGCAGTGGATGACTACTTTCCTAATCGGGATGGCAAAAACAACCCTCTATCAGTAACGTTAACCTTACTTTTGTAACCACCCCACCGAAATAACCTAGCGGTAGTTAACTGTGTTCGGATATCGTGCAGAGAGAGCTCGGGTTCGACCCGGACATCGGAGCTCCCGGTGGGGAATTTTCTTTTTCCCTTTTGGGACACCACGTCACGTAAAAGCGTGGCCGCAGCCGACTACAAATGCCACTCGGGAAAGAGGGGCATAACGGGAAAGGTGGATGTGAATAGAATCAAGGCCAGTCAGGATGATCAGGGCATGGTACAGCGTGGACTTGACACTGGTCAATAAAAGACACAAGCCTACTGAGGATGACTGTGCTAATGGCTCAAATGCATGGAGTCATCCTAGAATTTCAAAAGGTACGTAGGATATCAGAAATGGGTGCAAGAATGGGGAGTCAATCAAAGAAACCGTAGTCAATTAGGCTGGAAGAGCCCGGCAGACGGCATGGCCAAACACCATGGTAGGAAAATGCCCGCACCAAGCAGGCATTTAGCTTCGAGATGGAGGTGTAAATAATCTTGAGCATCAGGTATCTTGCTGAGACTGAGTGAGGGGAATGAAAAGCAAGAAAACCACCCATACCATCAAAGTTAACGAACAGAGTAATAACTCTCGCCCCGGTATAAGTCGTGATGCACCCGAGGAGACATCTCATGAAGGGTATCCATCATGCGGCCGAAATGAGTACCTACCGTCGTTCGAGCCATGGAAGGTGATCAATACTTTATTTATATTGTAGCGATCGATGTATAGCACGTTAGTCCCGTGTGAAGGCATTCTTCCAGATGTGGTAGGCATAGCATTTCAGCAGGTAATTGGTATGGTTCGCCCACCAATGACACAAAGAGGGCTAGGACCCCATTTTTTTTAACCTTTTTCTTATGTGTCCTTTTTGTTGAGGTTATTCACGTCCAAGCTCCAAGTCCTGTTTGTTTCGAAGGCATTCACAGGCAAAGTCTTCTAGGTAGACAATATCAGACCTTCAACTATGATCCAGCTGTCCTCAAGGAGATCCATATTCCAATAGAGTTGGCATGTAACAAGTAGTAGAACATTAGCATGAACTTGGCGTACATATACCCCAGATGAAGTGTTGATCAGTGGGTTGGATCCACTCGGGAGATCTGCGTGGGTTCTGTTTGGATAATCTTGACGCCTATTTTGTCAGGCGAAAATTTATATTATCACGTGCATCTCACGGGCGCTGCCACTTACCACGTCGGGAAGGGACATCCGTGTCTACGAAAAGCAACCAATCACAGACCACCATTTATAAGCCGATTGCCGGATGACTCAGCCCTTGCCGCCCAGACCGATTTTCTTCTTTAACTGTGGTCCCGCCGGGCTCTCGGGCTTTGATCTTGTGTCGCTTTAAATCTCCAGGAACCCTTGTTACGGTTCTACATTCACTTCATTTTGCTTCAATCCAATCACAATGGAGGCTCTTTTGCAACAGTCTCGTTCCATGTGCCCTTTCCTCAAGCGGACTTCGCCTACCACCCTCCGCACGCTCTCGACCGCTACTCGTCCCAGCAGCAGCCCTGGAGGTGGCACTATGTCCAATCTCCAAGTCCTGGCTCGCCGCTGCCCGGTCATGAGCAAGGCCCTGGCTGTCCAGAGTGCCCGCCTTCACGGTACCAAGCGCTTCACCTCGTGCGCTGCAGGAGTTACCGCCATGCAGCCTCTCCGCGCACCGACCGGCAAGCGGGCATTGCACACCACCGGAGGTCACCCCGCTAGTCTGGCTTCTGGGGGATACGAGAAGAACGAGCGAGGTAAACACTAAACTCTATGAGGGCTTATGCTTTGAGTAGTTTCTAATCTGACTGCAGGACGCCCTGGTCTGAACAACCCGATTCGCTCTTCCCCTACCGCCAACGAGGCCGCGGTCCGCGGCCCCCGCCCCGAGGCACCCACCACCGGTCGTTACAACTATGATGACTTCTACAACACCGAGTTGGAAAAGAAGCACAAGGACAAGTCCTATCGGTACTTCAACAACATCAACCGTCTCGCTCAGGAGTTCCCTCGGGCCCACACTGCCTCCACCGAGGAGCGTGTGACTGTCTGGTGTTCAAATGACTACCTCGGCATGGGCCGCAACCCCCACGTCTTGAACTCGATGCACAAGACCCTCGACACCTACGGAGCAGGCGCAGGTGGTACCCGTAACATCTCGGGTCACAACCAGCATGCTGTCGCACTGGAGGACACGCTCGCCAAGTTGCATGGAAAGGAGGCCGCCTTGGTCTTTAGCTCTTGCTTTGTGGCTAATGATGCAACCCTGGCCACTCTGGGCAGTAAGATGCCCGATTGTGTCATTCTATCGGACAGTCTCAATCATGCATCCATGATCCAGGGTATCCGCCACTCCGGCGCTAAGAAGATGGTCTTCAAGCATAACGACTTGGAAGACCTCGAAGCCAAATTGGCCTCATTGCCACTTAGCACGCCCAAGATCATCGCTTTTGAGTCCGTTTACAGTATGTGTGGGTCAATTGCACCCATTGAGCAGATCTGTGATCTCGCCGAGAAGTACGGTGCCATCACTTTCTTGGATGAAGTCCATGCCGTTGGAATGTATGGTCCTCATGGAGCTGGAGTTGCGGAGCATCTTGATTATGATGCCTACGCATCCCAGGATACCGCTTCCCCTCAAAGCACCAAGGGCACAGTCCAGGACCGTATTGATATTATCACTGGTACCTTGGGCAAGGCCTACGGCTGTGTTGGTGGATATATTGCAGGCTCGGCAGCCATGGTTGATACCATCCGCTCCCTCGCCCCTGGATTCATCTTCACCACTTCCCTCCCACCGGCAACCATGGCTGGTGCCGATACTGCTATCCAATACCAGTCTCAGCAACCTCGTGACCGGGTCCTGCAGCAACTGCATACCCGCGCAGTGAAGACGGCTCTTAAGGATCTGGATATTCCCGTTATTCCCAACCCGTCCCACATTGTCCCTCTTCTAGTTGGTGATGCCGAGCTTGCCAAGCGGGCCTCCGATAAGCTTCTCGAGGAGCACGGCATCTACGTGCAGGCAATCAACTACCCTACCGTCCCGCGCGGTGAGGAGCGTCTGCGCATCACCCCGACTCCAGGCCACGTCAAACCACTGCGCGAACACCTGGTCCAGGCTGTTCAGGCCGTTTGGAACGACCTTGGTCTCAAGCGTGCCAGCGACTGGCAGAGCCAGGGTGGTTTCGTTGGCGTTGGCGTTGAAGGCGCCGAGGAAGCCAACCAGCCCATCTGGAAGGACGCCCAGCTAGGTCTGCAGGCTGGTGAGACTGTCGAGGCTGCTGTTGCTCGTGAGTTCAACGATGCAGTCGCCCAGACTACTGTGCCGCCTTTGAAGACCGCTACCCCTCTGACCGAGAAGGCCCACTCGGCGATGTCCTCCACCCCTGTTGGTGTGGTCGCCTAAAGAGCCGGCTTTCGAATATTTTCGGTTTTTGGGGTAACAACGTCATAGTCCCCGTCCATTCTTTTACTCTAATATGCTGGCAAGCGGGCATATACGTCCGCGTTGCAAATATCCCAAACCTGTCTGATTCATTCATGTTTTGTGTCTGCTTTTTTGCATGAGATGTAGTTGTGTCTTGTGCTAGACTTCGGCTTGTATAGATGTGTGCTGTCATTTGATTGCACCGAGCACATACTGGATCTACTGTTGTATCTACATGTACTCTGTTGAGTGACAGGTTGAGAGGCGGACCAAGCTCTAATGAACAAGGTTGAAGTGGGACATACTTTCGTCTACCGTAACCTTCTTAGATTCCTTGTACGACTCTGTCGAGGTATATCTTTCCTTGATTGGAGCATCTAGATGCTTATTTATTTGTTTCGGTTCAAACTGATGCGACTTTGCGCGCGAAAGTTAGGGTTACCCTGAAGAGCTCAAAATATATATCAGCTCAACCGATACGATACAAATCTTCTAAAACCTAGCCAAGGATAAAACAAACAATTACAATAATACTATGTCTTCAGGCTCGTTTCTACCTGATTTTCTACCTAGTATCGCTATACTAGGCCTAATGGTGCGAAGTACCAATACGTAGACTTGACGTTGGCAAAAGACGAAGTAAAAAGAGGAATGACCCAGTCAATTCTTTTGGCTATGTAACATTGTCTCATTGATATAGAAACAGATAAAAAAACAACAAAATTTTGAAACACACATATGCGCCAATATTCCATGAAAGGAAATGAAAGTCCAGACAGCAAAAGAGTACATCCACACATACCCCAAAGCCAGTCCCAGACTGTAATCAAACAACAACAATCCTCCCTCCCTCTACTTCCGACCACCACGGCTAACCTTAGGGAACTCAACAGGAACACGCAACCTCGCAACACGACGAGCATGCGCCTCAGCCTTTCCACCCTTAATATTCCACTTAGCGAACTCCGTCTCACGGGGCTTATCAATCCGACAACCCAATTCACGGAAATACTGTTGAATAGTATTCGAATCTAAACGCAGATCATCACGCAGATCAGAGGGATCGGTAGCAAGCTCGTTAGGCGCATTTCCACCCAACGAGCTAGATCCACCGTCGCGCGCAGGCTGGGGCGGGATATGCAATGACAAAGCACAGATAGTCGTGTGGAGGAGGGTAAGATCGTTCTTTGAGACGAAGCCACCGCTCGGCGCGAAACGGCGGCGCACGGCGTCGATGACCGACTCCGGTAGGAGATCTGTAGAGGCGGAGTCGGTTGCAGCAGCAGTAGCGGCAGCGCCTGGCTTCCCGGTTGAGCCGGTCGTGCTGGAGAGGAGGCGGCGGAGATCCTCGCGGGGGGGAGGCGCTTGCTGCCCGGGCCACCACCCTTGGCATTTGCGCCCATGCCCTTGAGGGAACGGCCGAATTCGATGAGGAGCTGGATGAAGCGTAGGACTTGGAGGTGTGTTGTGTTGTCTGAATTGACGACTGGGCCGACGCGGTTTGAGACGAAGCGCGAGACTGTTGTCACGCCTAGGCCGGCTTCGACTTGGGATTTCCATTCGTCGACGCCGTTCAGTGCGCGGAGGGTAGAGGGGCCGCCGGGCACTAGGGTGTCGATTGTGTAGACGTCTGATGGGTGCGAGACGTTCAGGTTAGGGGTTGGGAGGGGCTTGGCTGCTTGCACTTCGGCTTGCACGGCGTTGGCCTTTGCCAGGCCTGAGGCCGTGTCTGCTGGCAGGGTGGAGATGAGTGCTGCGCCAGATTCGGGGACTGATCCTGCTGGGGCGTTGGAGAGCTGGGCGTTCTCGGCCATGGATTGCACGGCCTTGCGGGATTGCTTCGTTCCGAAGGTGTTGGTCAGGGCTGTGCGTTGGACGCGCATGGTGTTCTGGCGGGTAGTTAGTTTTGCTCTGTCTATGACGGTGGGGAGTAGGAGGAGTCCTACCATCTCTTCATCGGAGTCTTCCTCCGCGGCCTTTCTGCTTCGGACTGCACCGCGGAGAGTTGCCCGGCGCACCTCGACAACCTTCCATGTCTTGCTCTCCGGGTCAACGACTGCGACGTAGTGCTTCACCTGGGAGTCTGTGTCATCTCCTGTGCCTTCACGGCCGACAAAGTCCAGCTTGGCGTGGTCTGAGGACTGCAGGAGTATCTCCGAGGAGACAATGCCCGGGTTCCGGGATGCCACCGCAGATTTGGAGGCAGTGGAGCGGTTCTTGATATATGGGTTCCAGCGGAGGGATTGGGCACTCTGAAGACCAGGAGTATCGGCTGTAATACACAAGAGCTGTCAGAATGGACCTGAATCGTCGTGGAAAAGCTTTTTGCACTCACCAATTATCGGCGCCAGCTCGCTCTTATCTTCAACAACGCTGGCTGCCAGCGGGGAAGCATTTGAAGACTTGACTTCTTGTTTGGGCGCTCATTTTCAGAGGAGCGCTTGCGCTTGGTATCTGTTTTATTTGACGGCATTATGGGGTGAAGTTTGAGGGAGACCCGACAAGATCTTAGCTCTTGAAGTTCGAGAATCGGCTCTAGCGCGGTGAAATAAATTGTCCTGAACCTGTCTGGCAGAAAAAATTATAGTCGGAGACCCGCTCAGCGGTGAGAGACTCCGCGCACAAACGAATATTGACGTACTTGGCAGCTCATGTCTATACGGACATGGAGCGCATACAAATGGCTGTTAACATTTACGATTGAAGTGCAGTACTCATGAAGTCATCGATTCATCTGCAGTAGCTAAACCTAGACCTCCGAGCTATTCCAGTTATTTTCTTTTGATAAACTCCCGGAAGAAACCTCTCCATAACTCCGACCACCTTGTAAGAATAGCCGTAGCATGTAGAAATTGACCAGTCTCCCCAGTGCCGTGCTCCAAGACCGATGTGTTGCACCGATCCTCCAACATCCACCTGAACACATGAGCCTCTCCGAGTGATAATCATGCCTGACATCAAATACCGACGTTGAATAAATCCGAGGTGTTGGAAAGTGGGTAGAAACTGTTGAGAAAACAGCGGATTCCGTCGATGATTTGCGATTTCTTCTGAAATGATAGGTCGGAAATCTTGTCCGGGCAGACAACTCGACAAGCGAAAGGCGTGTCACGAGAAACGAAAGTCGTCACATCGTGTCGTCAATGGTCGTGTTCAGCGTTCAAACATGAGATCCGGCATGGAGAGCTGAGATGGAGGGGGCGAGTAGTTTATTTGCTGATGAATCGGTTAGCATTGGTATTCGGTACTTGCGCGAAACTATCGCAGAGGGGGTGGCGACTCACGATCTGGCGCGCATCTTTCTTCTCTTGCGCTTGAGACGACGGACGCGCTTCTTTCTCCACTTATCTCTCATCTTCGTTCTGCTGACTGGTTAGTAAGTCTCGATGGCATGAGCTTTGGAGGGGTAACCCACGATTTGCGAGGATGAAATGGGGATAGTAGAAAGAAAGATGAAGAGTGGCGGCCCGAGACGCATTTACGTATGGTGCGGCTGACTCAGCCGCTCTCGCTTAGACCCCACACGTGACCCCAAGCTTCCATCAGTGACGACACTGGACCATGCCCAATTAGGAAATTCGGTAGGGTTTAGCTCCATATATTACTCCAGTTATTATCTCGTTGACGACAAATTATTCGCAAAGCGACTTATGTGAAATATTGACTTGTGCTGCCGTAGGGTAATGACGTTGGAGAGGTAGCCTCGAGGGCGTTATCATTATGTATATCACGTATTATATTCCTCCCAGCGAATCATAGCAATCCTATAGCTGGGGTATAGCGGATCGCATTTTCACGATATCAATCTAGCAAATGGTTCATCACTCATGATGAAATTTCCAAAAGATCCAGGAATCCACAAATGTGGGATATCCAACAAGTACCAAAACAAACATCTAGCGGCTACCGCTCAGTATGCGTAGCGGTAGGTGGGCGCCAAATCGCCGAGGTATTCCTCCTCTTCCTCATCGACCGAAGCAGGATCAACTGCAGCACGATCACGCTTCCTGTTTTCGTACACAATGGCAAGGAGATAGGCAACACAGGCCGCGATAGACAAGCAAACGAACGAGAGAGAGATGATGTAACCAGTTCGATAGTCGGTTTTACCATTCTTCTCCACGAACGACCAAGTCGCGATGATACCGCCGATGTTACCGAAGCCTACCTGCCAAGCAGTTCCCACACTGCGTCTGTGATGGCCACCCAAATTCATGGCGAACCAACATACAATGACAGGCATTGCGCTGTAGCAGCCGCTAGTGACGAGGAACAGAGCACCATATTGGGCATCTGTTTGAGCCTTGCTAGTAATCGTAAGCAGCATTGCAAATCCAGCAATAGCGATGGCCATTGGGATCATGGTGAACGCGAATCGTTGACGCATTCTATCGGAGAAGAATGCGATGATCATTGAGACACCGAAGGATGCAGCCCAGGGAGGGATGGAATACAGCTGAGTTTTGATAGCTGCGAGGATCAGGTTAGCGGAAGTATGTTTTGCTTAGGTGAGGGATCATACAATCGTAGCCATAGGACTTGATGATTGTAGGAGCGAAGTAGGCGTAACCTGTGACAATGCGTAAGTGGTTGTTCGCAGTAGAGGAAGTCATGGCTGCTTTGGACTTACTATAGGCGGGGACAATCAAACCAAAGTACATGAAGCCTCCAATGAAGACCTTGTCTTTGCCACGGTTAGCTCACTGCCACCAAATAAGAGAGTTTGTGCTTGACTTACAGTCCTTGAAAACACCTAACACCTCTTTCTTGCCCATACGAACATGGTGAGCGGCCTTGCCTACATCCTTGGCCAACTTGGCGCGCATGTAGGTGCGCTCTTCCTCGTTCAGCCATTTCACATCCTCGGGGAAATCGGCGATAAAGAAGAACAAGATCAAGGCAACAACACTAGTCAACACGCCCTCAATGATGAAGACCCATCGCCAGCCACTGTAGCCACGCATACCGTCCATCTTTCCGATTCCACTGGCAAGCAGACCACCGAAAGCACCAGCCAGACTGGTGGAGCTGAAAAAGAAACTGAAACGCTTCTGAGCTTCTGAGCGCTTGTACCACATGCCCATCAGATAGAAGCCTACCCAAGACCGTTAAAACGTGGCCGACAGATCGTTTTGGTGTTACACTTACATCCAGGGAACATGCCCGTCTCGAATACTCCCAAAAAGAACCGGGTGGCCATCAGTCCACCCCAGTTGTTAACCAAACCCTGGAAGACCAAAACCAGTCCGAACATGAACATGCAAGCCGGTACTAGGTGAATTGTCAATAAGCTGAGCTCTCCAACATAGAATCAGCATCCCAGCACTTACACCAGACGTGAGGTTTGAGCTTCTTGAGCAGCATATTTGACGGAACCTCGAAAAGGATGTATGGGACGAAAAAATCGTGAGCGCGCTGTTATATTTCGTTCCCTCGGTAATATTCAAATCCTCCTTGAGACCGAGAATAGCGGCATTACTGATATTGACTCTGCGCAACAAAATCATGTCAGAATCGAAGGGCGCGAAATACAATGAACTTGCGTGAAGCAGTAACATACCTATCTAAGAACGCGAGAAGGTATAGGATACACAAGCAAGGCAGAATGTGCCAATCGACCTTGGCCATCAGTCTGCGCTCGGTCGTCGATGTGAGAGGGGGAAGTTCGTTGTCATGCTGGGAGCTAGACTGGCTCTCGCCATTGTCGATAGGCTCTTTGAAATCTGTAAAAGAAGAAACACCAAGTTATCAGCACGACTTCTGAGCGGGAACGCGCCGTCGCGGAAATAGCCCGAAGGGGCAGAAAAGACGAAATCCGGGGTACTTGGCGCATCACGTATGGAACATACCTGGGTCACCCATTCTGAGCGGTCACGCCTATATAGAGCGCACTGGTTTCAGATCGATCGGCAGGGTTGAAAGCGAAGAGATTAAAGAGAGAAAAAGGAAGAAGAAGTTGTGTGCCGGGGTCCAAGATGCAGATCACCGACGCAGGGATGGGATTACCCGAGGCTATTTGGGCCAATGCAACGCAGAGTCGGGCTGCAGATCTGGAGCAATTGCAAGACGGGCGCAGGAATGAAGAACAAGAAAAGAAAAAGAAGCAGTCACATATGTAAGAAAAAGGGATTGAGTCACCTAAGTCGCAAAGCTGTAGATCCACCGAAGGCCCGATCTCGGCCTATAGTGCGACTATGATTTTTTATGCGTTCAGCTGCATTTCCAATGCCTCCGCTAGTTTTTTGTATTGACCTGCAGGCAGCTGAATGATCCGCTAGAATTGATCATCATACTGCAGCGTCCTATCTTTTTAATTATTGAATTGGCGTAATTTACTCGATCGCGACAATTTAAGGGTCGCGCGAACCCTCGGTTCCCCGCAAAAGGCCTAACAAAGGCGGCTCCGGTTCGGCCAATGACTAAATAGCCATCCGTAAGCCTTGGCTTGCGCGGGGTGTTACATTCCTTTGCAAGCCACTTCAATGTGATACATTTTGCTCCTATTTTCAACGTGGCAATCAATGACAAGCTATTGCAGGCGTAGAACCTGCACGGACCGTGGAATCTGCAGATCGAGAGTCCACCCGGTTCACTGTGCGAGCAAATGTAAGATCTTTTGCCCAGTGATGGATCCATGTTCGCGACTATTCGATCAAGATTGCGAAAACTCTATACGCTACGTACATGGAAGCTTCTCGTGTGTATGATTGGCCACTGAATGTTCAGTTCCTCATCGATCGTGTTCGATCAGCATGTGGAGACTATCTCGGTGGATCCTGGATCCTCCGAATTTTGAGACTTTTACAATAGCTGTACTGTACAGTTTATCGGCAGTTGCCCGGCACGCTAATTCCAATGTAGATAGCATCATTTCCTACTATTAGAGAAGTGGAAAAAGCCGAGAGGGTATCCAAATAGATATGGTTGAACGAGGCCAAGTCATGAAATTATGCAATATTTGTCTACCAGAAACGCTGTATACGACGATGCTGATAGCTCCAGCATCTACAGTCAGAGGTCATCTTTTGGGGGAGATATCGTATATCACCCAATGCAACAACCGAAATATTGACACCCAGCGCTTCGAAAGCCTGAGAAAAAGACAAGCCTTCTGTACATGTACACTTGTCCGCCAAGATCTCTTCAGGTTCGCGGAAATATTCCATACTTTCAGCATGATATCGCATTTCGCATGCGAACCACCTCAATATCGGGAGCTTTCCCGTGGAGACAGCCTCATAAATCCCATCCAGAGGAAAGAATAGCCCATCACAGCGAAATGTAAGACGTTCTAGACTTGGTGGAAGCAATTCCCCCCAGTGCGACAAGTCAATCTCATTTGCGGGGTTTTTGTCGCCACCTCTATCTCCGACCAGCATCCTCGGTGTAATAGTGAGACTCACAAGAGCTGTAAAAGGACTAAGATCGATTTCTTCGCTCCAGTCATAAGATAGATCCAGATCCAGGACTTGGAGGGAAGATGAGTGGGCCTTGAGAACGTCAACATATTCACCTCGGTCACTCCCGCAAGTGAACCCATATTTCGACTCCGCAGGTTCTCCCTTGAGGGTAAAGCTTTTTAATGCACGCGGATACCGCAGCATCAGTTCTAGCTCTTGGCTTGAGATATTGCAATTCAGCAGCTCTAGTTCTTCTAGTTTCGTTGACCGGAGTGCGGGGGGATGTATATCTTGATAATCCCATTTTGCTGATACTGCGGCCCCTGTGATACTGATCGACGCAAGATCTGAGTGGTAGAAGAGCGCCTCGTATGGAGTCAGAGACCATTCATAATCGCGGTAGTAGTCGAAGCCAAGATTGACTGTGATTGTCAGCACTCCTCACGCGGCTGAGCCTAGCCTAAGTGCCACTGCCCAGGTGCGATGTTTTGCTTACTGGAACGGAGTGCGGGGAGAACTTTATGTGGTCGACAAATGATACCGATCTTTTGAGCTTTTGAGCGGTTGAAGAAGTCGGTTCGCAATGCTAATGACTCCAAATTGATCAACTGGGTAATTGTTGAATCAAAGTCCTCTGAACAATTTTCGTCCTCAACCTCGTCCGTGCCATGGGAATGAATTTGCAGCTTCCGTACTAGAGGTGCCAATTTAGGACGCTGGGAAATTGTCGAAGAGAACTGTTTTGCCCTCTCATAGCCCACTAAGTTGACAGATTTGTAAAGCCTGGGCGTGATGAATGAATGGAGACCACGGCACACGAGGCCAAGAACGCTGAGGTCAGCCGACGATGCACAAGCCTCATCGATGACGACCTCAAGAATCTCAGCAGGCAATGATAAAAGACAAGAAGTAGAGGACGCCATCTGCAGGGTAGGCTGATCATAAAGCGCTAGCCCGGATTCGCCGTTCGGGCCTGATTTCGAGGGCGATGTGTGGAGCGATGGAAAAGAGACAGCAGGTAATGAGCAGTGGGCTCCAAGATCTCCACCCCCATGGCTATCAAGCGCCTGTTGCAGAGCGGAAGAAGTTGGTGTGGATGCTGAGTTTGGTTTTAAGGCAAACGCCCATTAGGCGCCTAGTATGCATCCATCATCACTCTTTGTTGTGCGGCCCTTGTAGAATTGTCTTTTAGTGGAGAAACATCTGTTTTTGACTTGGTCAGTACCCAAAGGGGTATTAGATAGCCTTAATTTGCTAGGTCGAAGTAAGAAGTAAATGAGACCTCTAAATGCTCATGTACCTCTGGGAAGATGATCTGTGAGTAATCTGGTTCGCGATACAGGTACATATCCATGAAAGCCCCGTATCTTTGCTTTTTCTTTCTTTCTTTCTTCCTTCTTTCAGGCTCAAATATCATTTCTCGCTTATAAACTAATAGAATTATTATTTAAACTGAATCGACGATCGATTTATATATGATTCAATCAACATGTTCTATGGATCTGTGATAAATATAATTATATATAGAGTGAGGAATGATATAATTGGACAATGTTCAAAGGAAAGCGGGCCATGGCTCCATGGTGTCAAACACGTAAACAACTTCTTTCTGGTCTGAGGCTCTTTGTATCCCACAAGTCTAACAAAGTGGTTGGAGCCTTCTACAAATACCTAAATTCTATTTTAATTCCCAGAACTCGGAACTGGGTGTAGCTAGTTACGGCCTCCACCATGGGATAGATGTTCGGCTTCGAAAGGCTTTCAGCGCAAATCCATGAATTCAAGAGACATAGATATCAGAATGTTAGCATTAAAGATTTTTTTCACGGTCTCACTATCCCGCATCACTTTCCCCATCAATGCTATCTGAGAGTGTAGCTAGCCGAAGAGTAAAACATGTACTCCCATGGAAATTCACAGCACAAATTTATTCCACAGCTATAACCTCCATTTGCACATCCGTATTCTCCAATTTCGAGACCATAACAGTAGTCCGAGGAGGAGCAAAAGGCAGCTTCCGTTTATAAACTGCTTCAAAATCCGCGACACCCTGATAACTATCCCTGAAATAAACCTGCCAGAAATAATCAGCAAGAAAAATCACCAAAAGCCCGTGCAATGACTTAAGCCAAACCGTACCGTAGTCTTAACAACCCTATCAAGACTAGACCCGGCAGCCTTAAGGATCGCCTCTATGTTAAAAAAGATCCGCTCCGCACTGCTGGAAGGCGGCCCAATAACAAGACCAACACGAGGCGCAGCGGCAATCTGCCCTGCTACATATATCGTGCCATTGACCTTAAATGCCTGTGACTGCTCATGATTGGTTAGTAATGCGCTGGGCTGGTCAGCTCGTGGAGGAGATCCCGCTTACAGAGCGGCTAGGTGCTGCAGGTGAAGGAGGGTTTAGCCAAAACCAATGAAATGTGGATTCTTAGGGAACGGGATAACTCACGAGATGGGGCTGCGGATGTTCGTATGCACTCAATCGCGGTTGCTCTGCGGGGCTGGATAGTGTGGTAGTCCGGTGGTGGATGCTCCGGATGTCCGTCCGACATGATGGGGCTGAACAAAAGCAAAGTGAATGTCGCGTGGTATTTGAGTCTATCTCTTTTGTTTATTATGTGGCTTATTAAAGGGGGAAAACCTTGAAATATTGATATCTTGCTCAGCCCTTTGATCTGTGAGAGGGCTGAGTGGGCCTATCAGGGTGCTGTATAGAGCCACGGGGTCATCGTCGGGCACCATACTCGATTTGTCGCTATGCATGAAATAAATGCTAAATTAGATCGCTATTTATCTCGGCTAATCTTGTTCCATTTATATGCTAGATGTATGGATTTGGTTTTTAAATGTGAATGCTGTAATATTCAAATTAATGCGAAGAAACCGTACAAAAGCTTATATAAAAGAAGTGCACCCGTCCACGGGTGCACCAAAAGCTGGTAATCAGGAAAACATATCCACAATACCTAAAAGACAACAGTATATTCCCTAGCTACACGATAGTTGTCTGTTTCCTTGGCTAGGATGAGTTGCCATTCCCGGCTTGCCACCGTTTCTTACACCTAGCATCCCAATCCTAACATTCCGGCGCTAAAGTGCAGGAATTTGCGTGCGAAAATCCCCTGCCCATTCCATTCGTACTTAGATTTCTGCGACGTGGTCGGTAACCAGGCATGTGAAGTCATCCGAGCCATAGTAGATAGTGAAATCATCGTTGGGGGAGTTCCCTGTGCTCAGCTTGTCTCCACATTGCCAGTAGAGGTCTGCGCCAATCCCTTTAGTGCCCAGCGCGGTTCGCTGCCATTGGCCTTCGATGCTGCACTTGTCGGAGGCCACTCCATACTCCTCCATGAGACAGGGCTTATTCGCTGCTGCGCAGGCTTTGCCATGAGCCGTAATCCAGCCATTCCCAAAAGAATTGGTGACAGCCCCTAGAGACGTGATATTAGCATGGGATTATATATTAAAAAGGTAGGTAATTGAACCAGATAGGGGTCTTGAGGGACATGGGAGACATACAAGATGAAGGGTACAGATGGAAAGTTCCAAAGTCAATCGTGTCTATCTTCAGGTTCTTCACAAAGTCAAGACCCTCAGCATACGTGTAGGGGTAGCTTCCGTCTGAGCCAATATCTAAACCAAATCCCTCTGATAGAATGTTAGCGACGGAGAATTATTTGTCAGTCTTGCAGCGTACTTACCATCTCCGATACCCACCATATGCTGTGAATCGATTGATTTGATAAAGGCGCTGGTGGAAGCAGCCCAATTAGAGATGACCGAGGTGTCACAACCTTTGCAACGAGGCTCGTTTGCCAATTCCCAAGCAAAGATTGCTGACGACTGGCTATACCTCGAGACGACAGCTCTGATGTATCTGCGGTAGGCCTTCTGGATAACTGATGTGGTATACCAGCTCGTACTATTACCGCCAAATGCGGTAGTATATGCATTGATACCCCCATAGTCGGACCAGTTGTTGACAAAGTTGATGATCAGTTTAATATTCCGTTTTTCAGCGGCAGCGACAACATAGTCTAGACGTTGGAGGCCGTTAGAGCCAGTGTTAATCGTCGCAGTTCCATTCTGAAGCAGCTGGAAATACACCTTTCCCGGGGCAGGCTTGGTGTTCACATCATTGAAGCCCCAGACACGGAGGATACGGACACCAGAGCTTTGAAGGTGATCGAGCACAAGATCGACGTCGGCGTTGTTGGTAAGAAAACCAATCCAGTAACTGTTGGTCCCGGCGAAATAGTTCACTTGGCCATCGATCGTGAAATTCAGACCGTTTCTACCGGCAAAGCCACCGGATGTAGTATTCCGGTGATAGTATGTCCGAACTGGCGAGACGATTATTAACATATCGAGTCATAAATTTACTGAACATTGGATAGTTACCATTTTGTGTTTCACTTAATTTGTTATGCGGGACCCCGGCGTGGTGCTTGACAGTGCCCTGGTTGTAAGATGCCACCTGGGCAATCAGACAACCGACAGTGATCAGAACACTAGAAAGTCTCATGGTGAAGTCTATGTACGATTGATCAGGAATCTGGAAATGCCATGCTTCGTCGGGTCTTTATATTAACCATTGAGTGAACTGTCGATCAAGGCAATACGTTTTCGAAGCTCCTTGACCAATATGGACAGGGGAGTCTCAAGTATATAAATATTTATTTTACGGCAATAATCCTTAACCCACCTAATTTGGAGAATTGCTTGACGATACTAGAAAAATCGAACAAGATATCTTTGCTTTAGTTTCATCCGATAGTAATTCCTGAGAACGAGTATATGGTATTATATGTAGGACTCCGGAAAGGACATTTTTAAGGACACTTTTGGTAGCTATGTTAAATGTCAGGAGACTCTTATTCAAAGACACCAATTTAAAAGAAGACATGGGCTGCAAATGCAAAGACTCATGTTGCTACTGGATCAAACTACAGCGGATAACTGAGGTATTGTATCCTAGTCATCTGGGTTCTAGCCGCAATTGGCTCACATACTGGCTTAGCGGTACAATTTGTATACATATGTGATTCGAATGACCAATGTTTGAGATTAATAAAATTATTCAGTAATGCAAAGTTCCCCTAGATCTCCTGAAAAACGTGTGGGGCGAGGCGGAAAGGACTTTGTTAGGCAAGGAATGGGCGGCGGAGGGGTAGAAGGACTCTTGTTCTAATACTCTACAGACGGGCTCGAAATCAGTTTCACTACCTTGTTCTCTTTGATTCTTTGCTAACTTGAATCCTGAAACAAACTAATCTATTTTGGATTTAGCGGATTTCAAGATATCGAATTGTCTTGTAAGGTCAAGTCACATGATAAACTGCTCTGAAATCTATTGGAAATGCTAATACAATCAACCATTCCTAATTTTAGAAGCATTCTTTCTCACGGAGGCCTCCAAGTTCCATCGTGCTGCTAGCATACTCTCAGGATAGTATCATCCTGGCTTGAGTGTTTCGGGACCCGACCAATGCTTCGGTTTTCGTTTCATTGAGGAGCTTCTATAGTATTGCGGGAAGTAGCCGGAGCCTAAGTCCTTTTATCGGTAGACAACGTATCATTCGACCATTCCGACTAAAAAAGAGCAAAAATTTTCCTAACGCGATTTGAAACTGATGTACATCACATATCACCATCATACATCCCAAAGTGAGATCCTTGTACGCCTAAGGGCGAGCCGGCGTGCTCCACCGCGCACTACAATCTTTCCCTGGTAAGGTATCAATATACCCTCGCGGGCCCCGGGGTGGGCCTGGCCTTAACTGAGTAATCCACTCTTTGAAGGAAACGCTAGCTCCCTCAGCATTGAAGATATGCAAATTCCTAAAATTTGGCTCGAGGGATCCACTTAGCTTGCTCAAATCATCTTGCATGTGCAAACGATAGCCTCGATAACCTATATTCTTCAAGGAAATCGATCGCAGTGAGTACTCCTCTCCGAGGAAATTCAAAACCTGTTGCCAAGCAGAATTGCTCTCCTCAATCATCTCTTGACAATCCCGGAGATCCCGTTTATGGCCAGTGTCCTTGTCTGTCGGGGGCAAAGCTCCCCTCAAGTTTACTGATTCTAGGGATAGAACCCTCAAGGTCGGCCTTGCTGTGCGCAAGAAGGCTTTCAAGGTATCAAACGTTATCTCAGTCCAGTAAAGATGAATTTCCCTTATGCTGGTAAAATTGATACGCTGGGAGAGGTCATCAAAATATTGAGGACTCAGTGCACCGTTTAGGTCCCATTGTGAGAATGTTAGCACCTTGAGAGTTGGTGCAACCATTATAGGGAGATCGACAAGGCTCCTGAACACAGAATCATCAAGCTGGGTCTCCCAGATGCTGGTGCAGAGATGTAAAAACTCCAATTGTCCTAGGGACGAGAGCAGAGACTGGCTTGTTTGTTTGAGTGTAACGTCCGAAGGTGACAACGCACAATGCTCATCGTTGCATGTGTCCAGCTTTTTGATTCGCCTCTTGCAACTTACCACTGCCTCCAAGAGAGCCGAGAAAGCTACAGCATGGTCCTTGGCTCTGGTCTTCAAAAAGTTGTGTATGGGTTTTCTGCCCCTTAACGCGAAGGGATCAAATCCAAGCTGGCGTCTTGCTGCGCGCCAACCGATGCACCGGAAATTGTTATTGACTGATCGACTCCAGAAAAATTCTTCAGTGGTGTGTTGTAATCTGATGATCGTTAGGTTATCAAAGCGTGCAACACATTTCTTGAGAACGTTGCTAAGAGTATCAGATTCGATGATGCTGAGATGTTCCGCTACTAGACCTTGGTACGCAATATACTCAGTCTTGATCATATGGGCGGACCTTTTGCTGTTATATGAACCGGTTGCGTCCCGAAAGGAATCTAGGTCCATCTCGTAATAACCTTCGAATAAGGATGGCGTTATCCATAGCTCTTGAACTCGTGTCCGAAAGATATCGTGTGCGGCGAGCTCTTCCAACTGACAAAGACTGTGGCGGGTGAGAATGAACCCAATACTCTTGCAACACCATTCTGCAAAAGTTTCTAGTGACTTGATGTACACGGTTTTGCAAGTAACACGAAATGCACACCAGTCGCGCAGCTCCAGATGGCTGCAGATATCGCGTACGAGCTCTGTGGGAAGAGCTGAGACAGACATCAATGAGTATAGTGTCTTGGGTTACCCTTCAAGAGAAACGACAAGGAGGAACTCGTTTGAGCAGAATTTGTTGGTGTCTCGATGACTTTTTTCTGGAGAGGCGGCATTCCTGCGAGGCTTTCTAAACATCATGTGATTGCTCGAGAACGTACCAAGACACGCTAATCCACTTTCATACTGGTCTAAATTGACTGCCGTAAATAACTGGAAGACGCGCGCATTGCGCGCATCGGCCCTGAAACGACGGATAGAACGAGGTAGGAGCGTGAATTGTGAGAGAAGAGTTGAATTGATGAGCTTTGATTGTTCATTCCAAATATCTAGGATATGGAAGCAAGCGAAAAAGTTGAGTCATAATCAAGATGAGAAGGAAATTGACCAGTACATGCCAAGAGCAAGTCAAGGCCAGATTTATTCAAATTTAGTTGATGTGAACGAGTAACTATGTATTCTAACTTGGGAATTCAGTTGAAATAGTCCCCATGAATTGCTTCCTGTATCCCACTTTGGCCACAATAGTCCCAGCTTAGTATGGCGACCCACCCCCGCTCCCCGGGACGAGCATTGCATCTTTTATATGCTGTCACTGTGCCCCTCCGTCTGATACTGCCTGCTCGGAACTTGGGTTGCAGCCCTTGTCACATAACCTATAGACACCTCGCTTCTATCTTATTCCGTGGGATCTTATCTCAGAGGAATGATATTCAATTATCCCTAGTGGTCTTTATGACAGCTCCTATTAATCTATTCCTTTTAGTGGTAGCGTCCTAACCTTGAAAGTCGCGTGCATAGCTCTAGTGAAGACTAACGGAGGTGTCTAAGTGAATAAAAGGTGTGGATAAAAGGTATACGATGGGCTGCATAGTACACCTAGCACTACGGATGTCTAATCCCACGGAAAGTTAGCTTTCCTATATCGATGGGAACGGGGCGATTATTTACAGCCGAGAAATTCCAACGAGGAACTACTCTGAAGGCTATCAACGTCAGCGATTTTCGAAACAGTTTACCCCTCACACACTCTCACTTTGGTTGTAGAAACCCTATTAAATGGTGATAACGCCAAGAATGCAGTGATATCCACCGGATCCGTATAGCAAAAGTAGGACCAGAACTTCCACTAGATATTCCACTGGCTAACAACGCGTCTAAGAAGTAGTTTGTGTTACGCTTTACTATTTGGTCATCGTTAGGATGCTTCTAGAGTGATAATAACCTTGATGCTATCACAGAGAATAACTATGTGTACGTGCTGAGGCGGCTAAATACGGTCTCCCATTAACGATCTGTTGTTACACTATGGCGTCGCATGGTAAGAGCAGCACCACAAATAGCGGAGGATTGAAGCGAAGCGCAACAAAGGCGACAGGCAAGTAGGGCGGTTGAGTCGAGGAACGTAGGAAGCGATAGTAATGGCAGCACTGAACCTGACTCCACACGTGATAGCGAAAAAAGGCGCTGTATATTTCCTTAATTATAATTATTAGGAGGTATTTAGAGCGGTTAATATTTGGGATTATGTCTCCGCCGCTACCGACTGCCGTAGCCTATAGCCCGCGTAACCTAGTCCACCTGCATTTCAAGTCATGACGTAACCAGGCGGAAACCCCACACCGCTGGTGCCTCGATACATAAATTGGTGAAGCCCGGAGGAAGTTTATATTCGTATGCAAATTGCTAAGGAACATTCGTATCACCAAATAGTTCTATACAATGGCCCCTGTTATCAAGACGGTAGCCATTGCCGGAGTTAGTTAATCCCCAACTCGAGCTTATTTTTCTATAACTAAGCCAACAATCCATAGGCCACCAGCACTACCGGCGCACCAATCTTTAGCGCCCTTATCGCTACTGGACTTTTCCAAGTGACCGTCCTAACCCGCAAAGGCTCTAAGCACATATTTCCAATGGGGGTTGCTGTCAAGCACGTCGACTATTCATCTGTTCCTGAACTCACGGAAGCTCTTAGGGGCCAAGATGCGCTTATTAACACCACAAACATCGTCGAAAGCATCCCCCAGATCAATCTCATTGATGCAGCCGTCATGGCTGGTGTCTACCGCTATCTGCCCTCTGAATACGGGCTCAATAACAACAAGCCAGAGATCGGGGAGCTGCCCGTTTTCAAGGCTGCTTCCGAAGGCTTGAAGCATATGCGAGAGAAGTGTGCCGCCTCTGGCGGTGCCACGACATATACGGACGTACATAACGGCGGCCTCCTAGACTGGGGCTTCGAGACGGGGTTCACGGGTATCTTGCTACGCGAGCGTGTCATAACACTCTATGACGAAGGGTCTAACGAGATTGCCTACACGACACGTGAATGGCTTGGCAAGGCCGTGGTCCGTGTGCTAACGCACCCTGAAGAGACGGCTAACCGACCAGTCTATATTGCGAACACGTACGCGAGCCAGCAGAAGTTCTTTGCCTTGTCACAGGAAGTGTTGGGTGACGAAGGCTGGACAGTCAAGCATCGGAATACGGACGAAATGTTTGCAGAGTCGATGACGAAGCTCACATCAGGCGACATTGGAATGGAAAGCCTCCTAGACTTTATCCATGTTGCGGACAATAATCCTAAGTACGAGACAAGGTGGGAGAAGGATGACAACGAGTTGCTCGGTATTCCTAGGTTCTCCGATGAGGATATTAAGGCTGTTATAAAACGGCTCGTACCTTATGTTGGCCTTTGATGTTTTGGATTGATATATTCCTATGTGCACAATCAGGAAGAGAAATAGCGAATTGGAGATGACGTACGGGAGTACTAACGTTATAATTGAAGAGCAAAGAGCCAATAAAAACGGCCGAAAACAGCTAAAGCCAAGCTAATAAGGATAGAATTGTTCAAATGGAATCTAGAAGAGCGATAATAAAATTTTCAGTATTTCTTGCACTGCGCTGGTTAATTAGTTGTAGATAGATGAACTTGGCACCCACACCCATATCAAGGCCGATTAGATAACATCTCGGAGCAAGGACACGAAAGTGACAAGAGGGGCAAACACAGGAGATAACATACTGACTGGAAATCGTGGTGGTAATAGACAGCACAACGTTGCAATAAAACGAAGGACAATAAGCAGATGACGAAGCAATCATAGCAACTTAACGTGCAGAAATATGCAGACAAAACCCTACAACCCTAAGCCAAGACGATCTAATCCAAATAAAGCGACAATAATGCAGGTACCAGGAGGCAGGAAGAGCGAATGAGCGACGTGCGTGGCAAAACAGCCCATACATAGTTAAGCCACCTCTTTTTGCAACGTCTTGCGCACACGTACATCCGTGTTGACTATTCCCTTTCACTCACTTCGTTCGTTTCAGGGCACAGGAATGAATCCATACGACCTTGATACCATAGCTGTTTTTATGCCATATTTGTTACCGTAATGAGATACAGCCAAGGATGTAGGTCAAGGTAATCTAACCGTAAAAGGTATGGCGTCATACAAAATAGAGTTCAACAAAGAATTGAAGAGAGTATACAGGTGAAACTGATTTCGAGCACGTCTGTACCTGGCCGAGGATCATGAACTACTGGGGTTTATAAGTAGTGACTTTGCTGACGAGAAACCCAGAATCCCACATATGGATGCAACGGACCACAGCACTAGATGACCGATAGAGGTATATGATAGATTCGGACGGTGAACTTCCGCTTGGCCATACCATCAGCGCACCATCCCTAGCTCGGGCCATATATATACAATGGTAATCTTTAATTTGATACCAGGAGATTCATCAATTAGTCTAAGAACCATGAAGTCAGCCAGTTTGGGTATCCTGTCATCTATTGTGTGTTCGGCGTATCTTACTTTTATCATTGTCCTCTGGAGGGCATTCATTGGATACTAGAGAAGCACTATGTCTACCCAATGAATGGTAAGTTTAATCACGGTGCAAGCTTTGTACGGAGGATTCATTCACTAGTCGTTGGATCTACAATTATATGTGCCGAAATCCTTTGGAGACAGAGCCCTAGCGTGAGCTTCAGGTGCATTAAGCGCATATATTGTTGCCTGATACCACAACTAATTCAGTCTCTTGCCCGATATTCCCCTGTCCGGCTTGGTGACTACGTAGAGATGCGCAGATTGTCAGAATCTTCGGAGGGTCCCCATACCCATAGCCCTATATTATATGGGATAGACCTCAATGAAGCAGACCCAAGTTGTTTTCAGGAACCTAATTTGAGCATGTTACGACTTCCCTAGCAACAAAAGAAGTTGTTGACTTAATTATTTGTGAAGAACTTAGGATGAACGGTTTAATAGATAAATCAACTACTGTAATGATTAAGGTGCAATCGACCTTAATTGTTACATGCGGGCCGAGCGCATGAATATGCAAAACCAAAAGCTTAGTCGCTGCCAGCGATTGGATATTGGTAGAGAATAATCGAGACCGGTAGACTCCTCTCCTCGAACCGCATGGAAATATGTGCCTCAAGAGTCAAGTTCTTCTGGCTCAGTTACAACTTTGCGTTCTGACCTTTAACTGAACGGTTGCCTAATTTTGAATGCACTCTGGGACTGGAACATAATTCCCGGAAGTTATTTAGTCCCCGATCTGACCGCATGTGAAACTCACCGGAGTATTGGGGTATAAAGTGGGGCTGGACGACCTTTTTCTCATTACTGCAGATGCCTAGTAGTCAATGGGAAGGAGGGTCTAGTCATTTCCCTACGAAATAAGCCCCAGAACGCATAGTCGGAGAGCTGTGCGGAGGCCAGAGAGGTGGAGTGCCGCCTCCTTCCTACTAGAAAGGGTTTAGGTGCCAAGAACTGTTCTCTCGTGTCCGAACCGACACGGAATTCCCTGGCCGAATCTGGAATGGCGAAAGAATCAGAGGTGAACAATACGGGAATCCCGACGAACGTGCCAATGTTCCTTTTGCGTCCTTCCACTCCCCCATTTCCCCAGAAAACTATGTTATATTTCCCCACATCGGTTGCATTGTGGCTTCTGCATGGATAGGACACACTTACCACAACTTAGCACTGGAAGGGTGAGGATTAGATGTTCATCTATCGCCAAGATCTCCATTTGGTCTTCTACCGCACCGCATATACAACATGCAATGTCCCGGAACATTCTCGGAGTAAATGACCGTCACTGAAACCACAGTCTAATCGACCTCGAATAGTACTACTTTCTCAATCACGTCTCTCCATTCACACCTCGTCTTTCATTTTAGCCTTTTTAGGTGACTCAGTTCAAACCGACTGACATGTTTCTCTCGTTCGAAGCCTCTCAGGACAGCGAACAGGGTCTGCGTAACCCAAAACATGCGAGGCGCAGTGAGCGAATTGGCCGGCGAGGGTCGACGGTACGCGCCTGCAACTCCTGTCGCCGGCGTAAAATCCGATGCACTGGCGAGAAACCATGTGAGTCGTGTCGATGGTACAAAACGCCGGAACTGTGTTGCTATCCGGAACGTCGTCAGTCGTCAAGGTAAGAAAAGTTCAAATGATTTCAAGGAGAAGAAGAACAGAAGAACAGAAAAGAATTCTCTCGTCATGGAACTTAAAGGATATGAACTGAACTGAATAGCCACTCAGAGAAATCGGCAACATCTTCAAACAATTATCGAGTCGGACTGAGAAGGCTCATTCCAGACACAGCCCCCGAGAACATCGTCGATTTACCCAGAGAGAAACTGTTAAATTTGGTGAACACAGGTGGATCCCAATATGTCCAGCACGAGGACTCACCGACCGTCGCCGCGTCTATACAAACACACAACTCCGCATTGTCTAAGGGACAACCCGTTCTGGAGTCCCTGCATTCAATGCCCGAGGAGCAGCTCGATGAAGGCCAGTGTCCTAGCCGATCAGACTCACTCGAGCATATCTCGGATGATGTCAACGCATTATCCCTAACTGTGCGGCAGCCCGCCTCGTATTTGGGTATTTCATCTACCCAAGCTGCTATGAAAGTCATCGCATGGCTCCATCCACAGTTCAAGTCATACGTATCCCGCGCCTTGCCAAAAAACCAAAGCGACCAAGCAGTTAATTCGATGCCATCTATAGGTACACAGTCCGGCCTTCTTCCTACAGAAATGGAAATGCTAGATGCGTACTTCGCCGACTTTCATCCGCTTGCGCCACTGTTAGACGAAAAGAACTTCCGCGCCACTCACTTGGCCGGTAACCGGAAAGACAATCGATGGCTAGCCTTGCTCAACATAGTTCTCGCGTTGGGGAGTATCGCAGCCTCGGGCCCAGATAATCACACCCACCAGGTGTATTTTGAGCGTTCGATGAATCTCCTGAATTTGGCTACGCTCGGAACTCCTACCCTCGAGGCCGTTCAGACCCTAGGACTCATCGGGGGCTGGTACTGTCACTATACAAGCCAGCCGAACCTCGGATATTCCCTGATGGGGGTGTCTCTACGCATGGCGGTTACTTTAGGGCTACAGCGAGAACCTTACGACGGCCATTTGGTGCTCGACCCTGCCAGGGCTGCTAACCAGGAATTCAAACGCCGCGTGTGGTGGGCGCTTTGCTGTTTGGAGACATGGGGCCATGAGACTCTCGGCCGACCATGTATGGACTTTTTTGCTCCAAGCATCACTGTCTCCCAACCTCGCATGCTTGATGAGGTTCGTTTCAGTCGTGTCCCTATTCCTCTCAATCCCATTTTCCCGCACTAATACCAGAATTCGGGCTGTGAATAACGATTTACAGGAGAATTATCTTCACATCCTCCCCTTGATCGAAAATGTCGAATTCGTGAAGATTGCCTCAAAAATACAGGAATCCTTAGCCGGTTTACCAACACTCACGCACACGGAGACATTTGACCTGGACTCGCAACTTCTTCAGTGGTGGAACAACTTGCCCCCGGCTCTTAGAGATTATGAGCCTTGTTCTGAATCGCTGTACACCGCGCGAACGGTGATGCGCTGGCGCCTTTATACTCAACGCATGCTACTATATCGTCCAAAGCTTCTAAGCTACGCGATGCGACGAGTCCCCTTCATGAGTATTCGAATGGAGGAACGTAATGCTATTCTCAAATGCCGTGAAATTGCAGAAACTACTATTGAAGATATTTCCAGGGCAGCAAAATTGAATCAAATGATCGGCTGGAATGGCGTCTGGTTGTTATTTCAGGCTACCATGGTGCCTCTGGTTTATTTATCCACTCGACCCACAAATGACGACTCCGTCGCCGCATTTGAAGCTTGCAAAACGCAGGTTGAGACAGCTATAGTGACGCTTGACCGTTTCAAACCTTACGGACACACGGCAGAACGTTCCTTGGAGGTTGTTTCAGGAATCCTCGAAGTCTGTCTCCAAGGCGCTGGAGTGGAATCTCCTGACACGAGTGCCGAGGGTCTTGGATCCCAAAATATTCCTCATGTGGATGAGTTTAATTGTTATCCGCCGGCTACCCGAGATCGAGTTTGGGATTGGACTGTTACGTCTTTCGAAAATCTTCCGCCTGAGTCGATGTGGGAGTACCTGAGCTGGGGTGCTCAAGATATGTGGCCTGAGGTTACTGGTATTGGCTTTGAAAATCCAGCAATGTCTTTCTTTCAACCCACCGGGGGAAATATGTGAGCATGCAGCATCATTGAAGAAATAAACTGGTTATTTCCGAGCACTGAGATATCGCATTCTGTCCTTCCAATGTATATTATTTGATACGCAGTGAGTTCAATCTTCACTGGCATTTTTTTCCTTGATCCAAGTCGGTCGAGCTGCTCAATTTTGTTCCTAGAGGTTCTTATGGTCAAATTTTCTGTACGGATCACAGGCAGTGAAAAAATTCAGCCAGACAGCGTACAGCCATAGGCCATATACCCTTTCACATCTCCACCTTTTTTACAATCCACATGATCAACCCGAGTCACTCGAAAATGGGCAAAAAGCAAAAAAGGTATACTCGCTTCGAGGCTTTCATATACTGTCCAAAAATCTATCAGTGACACCGTATACAAAGTTATAAACCTTCGTTGTATGTACAGAACGTAATCGTGATAGACTACTCGCATTTAGGTACATCGCCTCTAACAAAGTTTAGATAAATATTCAGAAGAACGGAACGTGTCTCAGATAACATCAAAATCAAGCATCCTTGGCCTGCAGCACCTCATCTGTTTCCGCAGAGACCAAGACCCGGTGTGGCTGGGTGCTCTTCTTTCTGGGGTTAGGAGCATCGAAGATATCCGTGAGCTCCTCAAGAGTACGCTTGCATGTTTCGACAGCAAAAAAGTAGATGAAAACGGCCTGTACAAGATTCCAGCCCGTCAAGATGATATAAGTATGCCATTTGATGACGTCCATGGCATTCCCGATTCCGAATTGGTTTACGAGCAAAGCGATGTTAGTGAAGACGGAGTATATAGCCATCCCTTTAGCGCGCGTCTCGTACGCCAGGCACTCGACAGGATACATGGCTTGCAATGGTGTCCAGCCAAAGCTGAAGGAAAAGCCTATGAGGAAGATGATCACAATTGAGGCCGTGGCGGCCGATGTTTGCTGCGACTCTGAGTACACACCCGTGGCGGCTGATAACCCAGCAAAGCAGAGCTAATTATTTACCAGTCAGCAAACAGTGAATGACAACAGAGGGAGCTAACAAGTGAACACCTACGGAACAAGCTATAGACGCGCCAATTAGCATAGGTCGTCGTCGCAGGGTTGGTGCAAAAAAGCCACCCATGTAGGCTCCTCCAGCAGAGAGAACGGTGTAACCAAGATTGACGTCAAGGATCCGACTCGTATCAGTAACCCCAGCGCTTTCCAAAAGTCCACCCATATAGTAAGTCGTTATACCTCCCTGCGACCACTGGCTCAGGAAAGCTGCGATACCAACACACACAAGACGCCATCTCGCGGCCTTAGTGTTGACGAGCTCTCGGAAGTCCCAGATCCTCTTATCTGAGCCTTCGAGATTGATTGCCTCCTCATATTCGCGGATTTGGAGAGTGACAAAGGCATTTTCACGGTTACCCTCGCCGTGATATTTGGTGATAACGTCCCATGCCTTCTCACTGTGACCATGACTGTAAAGCCATCGAGGTGATTCAGGTATAAGCCAAACAAAAGCCACAACAAAGCAGGATGAAATAAGCTGACACCAAATAGGAATGCGCCATGCGCGGGAGTCTGGATAGACCAGACATCCTCGGCAAGCACCAGCAGCGGCAATGGCACCAACGAAGTATTGGCAATTGTAAAGACCAGTCAGGATGTCACGGTAGGCGGGGTGGCTCATCTCGACCACATAGGCGGGCGCGGCGGACGCGGCGATAGAGTATCCAAAGCCTGGAATGTTCTGTTAGCAACACTATCTAGAAACATGATATAGAGAGAGTATGGTTTAGCAACTACGTACCAAGGAAAAATCGGCTGGCGAGTAGCTGATCTATGTGATTGGCGGTACCTCCCAGAATAGTGCCTAGGATGACCGAGATGGATCCAACAAACATTCCGAACCGTCGACCGAAGTTATCGAGCAGGAAGCCAACGAAAAAGAGCGCGCTGACACCTCCAATTGTGTACATCCCTTGGATGAGGGACGCTTGAGAACCGACCAAGCCGGCCCCGAACGTTTCGCGAAACTGGGGGATAGGAAGTAGAGAACCCATGAGCGAGCCATCGAATCCTAACTCAAGTCAGATATCCGTGATACATAAGGCAACATGATATTTCAGTCTTACCGTTTAAGGCTGAGCATAGATATGCCACAGTCAGGAACGCGTATAATTTTCGCATCTGTGAACTCCATGGATTTGGGGGATGGGTTCGTCTAGCCAAGTCCAAGGCCATCGATCCCTGGAGAACCTCTACCCTGATCCCATCCGTGTTCTCCTGGTGGTGGGTTCCACTCGCCCCTTCTTTCTCGGATGTCTGAGTAGATTGCAACGCTGTTGCTGCTGCCATGATGCCGGAAGGCGCCGTGTTCTGATCCCTTTTATCACAACCACGAACCTCGAGGAAGATTCTATATGTAGATATTAAACAAGAGAAATTCTTGGGGTAAAGTGGCTCGTTTATGTATTCTTTTTTTCTCTTCTTTTTAGCAGCCCCGGAATTTCTGGTCTCCCACCTGTGGCCAAATTGGAGGTTAATTCGTTTGTAGCTAAAATGTGGCGGACCCCCTTGGCCAAAAGAGACGACTATATGGCATGAGTTCTTCTTCGCCCATCATGATTCGACTGTGTTCAACGTCCAGAAGGTGGTGAAAAATACCCCAGACGGAACAATTGCAGATTGAAGCATGAAACTGTGCGGTGACCCCATTTCCCCAGCCGGTCATTTGCCTTCTCCGCCTCTTCCTTGATCAAATAGGCACGACTCCGCCTCGCCCAGTATTCCTGCGTGCGATCTAGCAAATCAGCGGGAGCTAACTATACCCACAGAATGGAATAGACAGACTCGGCTTTTTTTACCTACAGACGCGGACTTTTCCAAGATCCGCGCTTCCTTTGAAGTCAACGGTTGCAATTGGGCGGGTTTCGGAGACAGTTCTCGGCTTTTTCGGCCCTTACCGAGAGTCTTGACATTCGGTAACACTTTGTATCTTAGCTTGTAACTTGATTACACACAATTTGTTTTTGTTTTTAATTTTTTTTAATTTTTTATATATATTACATTCTAAGATAATATCCTTGCAAAGGGGAAATTCTTTCTTCTCTAAGTTGAAAACACAGTAGAGAAATGCAACAGCGTTGTCCAGAGAATCAAAAATTCGCCTAATCGCGCTTTACCAATTGACCACTCAGCTGGAACTTCAATGGATTTCATAGTCACAGCCGTAGTCCGAGCCAAACAGAGTCACTGACCCAGTCCTTGAAAGCTCGGTTGTACCCCACGCGCCTGCGCCTTTTCCACGGATCTTTATTCTTGTCCGTTGCCGGGTTGAGGTAGAAAGTCACCTTTTGGCATGCCATTCACACCTCAGCACGGAGTAAAGTAGGGCATATCGCATAAGCTGAATTAAAACGTGATATGCCGCGGGGAGGAATTACCTTCTCCCTTCATGCAGGACAGCGACCTCCCACAAAAGCAAGAATGAATAATCCGCGGACGATACTACGCATACTGGAAATTATGAGATATTGTTATACGGCATTATTTACTGTCGGTCGCTCATGATATGAGGGTAAATCCTCATACCTGTGCTAAGGTGAATGGGAAGTTCTACCTAAAGCAGCTACATAGACTTTGTATAGTCGCTTTCAGTTGACGCAAATAACTTAGCAGCCAAAGACTCTCAAAACATCATTACTTTGGATCTAAAGTCCTATGTCCATGATCGAGTATATGCATATTCTTTAGACTTGAGGCGCATCATATATTGCAAACATAATTTAGCTTTTGACAAGATTAGACCCTGAACCACTGAGAGATTCAGCTCAAGTATGAGAAGATTAATGGTCCGATTTATGCCTAGAGAGCTCCGCAAGGAGTACTGATTATGTCCCTAATTTACCCCAAGATGACTGTTCATGAGTTTGTAAACCTTGTAGTTCCAACCCTTACGGGAAGCTTGGTATCCTCAATTGCCAAATTCCATTTATATTTGTGTCTTATTTTGAAACCTGCGACGATTCCTCTCGGAGTTATATCGGAATCTCTTGAAACTAGCACGTTACTAGAAATGGCATTTGTCTCGATTCAGCCGCGAGTTACGTACAACATGATCTCTTGCAGACTTTCACGGACACGGAAGCTGAAAATTAAGGGGCCGCTTTCCAAGTTTCTTCTAGATGCAAGAAGGAAGCAGGTGCGCCTGAAATCTTCTAGCAAAGTCGACAGCTAGTCGATCTTTTCCAATTTCTACACGGGTAAGCTGGATGGGTTCGATTGTCTCATGTTGGTTGCCTTGACTATGTCTACCATACTCGAACTGAACACTATATAAGGGGCCTCTGGCGTGACTTTCTTTTGCACAACAATATTTCTTATTCATCAGAAGGACTCTTATCCTCGTACAATCCAAAGAAATAACGACATACCTAGCTCAAGATATCACAGAATGCAGCTTCTTTCTGTCTTCGGTGCTTTGGCCCTGGTACCTGCCGTCATCTCGTCTCCTGCAACAGGATTCAAGCTTGCTACCCGCGATGATGACCGAGGCAGCCAGACTGTTCCTGGACTTGGGACTCGTAAGCAAGCAGTGATTGGTGCCGGTGGCAACACCCGCGATATGGCTATTGCGATGCTGGAGACAGATACCATGACTACCGATTACACATATGGTATGTCTTAATGCATACCAATGAGACCAAGACAGTTGCTAACATATAGATGTCTAGGCGACGGAAAGACTGGCGATGGCACCAACTTTGGCATTTTCAAGCAGAATTGGTACATGTTGCGCACCTCTGCATCCGAGTTTTTGGGCGAGAGCATGAGCCAGGTTGCCGATGGCGCGATTTTGAAGTCAGTATTCGAGTTACTTAGTGTGCTAGAGACCCATATTGGCTGATACTTTGAGTTTGAAAGCTCCGACTTGGGCAAAGACATCCGGGCCCGTCACGACGGCGAGAACAAGTATGGCTTTGATGTTTGGTTTGCTGGCCACCGCAATGGACAGTCCGGTGTCGAGAGTCCTAACAGTTCGGACATCACAGGTGAGACATTTTTATGATCATAACCGCACCCAAGAATATATCAGCTGATATGTGAACAGGATACAAGGATGCCGTTCTGTGGATTCAACAGCAGATCGAGAGCGATGACAAGTACCAGAGTGATGATACTCGCTTCTGGGTCAAAGTCAAGGCCATCTAAACCACCCCAGAGCAGCTCGTGGCAGACGGCAGGTTGTTTGTCTGAATTTAAAATCACCAAGTCTAAGGCAGACGATTTGGGGAGGACGGCTTGCCCTCTCGACACTATACTTGTTGGTTCTGACATTCTGTTGGTCTCCGATTCTCGCATTCCTTTGATATTTCTATTTTTGTGACTTTCTCGCCCAAGTCCACTCGTTTAGCAAACTGAAAATGGTTGTTCTTTTTACATAAATAGGATAAATATAAGCATTGCATGTAACGTTCGATTCTGACTTCACATATCTTTTGATGCTTTAAACATCACTTCGTTCACCAAGGTTCTGTTTCGATAAACATTCCACGATTTGATAGCGACTACAAGTATTCCTCATGCCGCAGGAAGAACCCAAGTTGTCACAGACTGACTGGGAATGTTACCGCTCCATTGCTGCCCACTGTTCATCGACACGGTAACATAAACATCATTGCTGAAAGTATTCTCAATTACAACCGTGCGAGATCCATCAGGGTTCAACGAAGCAACAGACTGAACACCTCCATTGGAGTAGCTGTAGCTTCCAGTACCACTCAGAACAATAGCACCTGGCGGCATGAACTTGCTGAACTGCGCCATCATGTAGTATGCAGTATTAAAAGTATATCCACCATTAGAGATAGTAACTAGACCCTGGCAGGTTGCACAGCCACCACTTGACAGATGGGGCCCGTCTTGGTCATTAGTACCAAGCGTCCAGGCTGTAACACCGGATGCCCAGTTCTGCAATGGGCCCATGGTAAAGTCGGCGGCTTGATTCCATGAGGCTGAGGCCGGCGTCCAGCATTCGGTCATATATTGCTTGATGTTTGGGTTTGTTTGGTGGAATTTCGTCAGGACTGTCCAGTCCACGTTGGAGGCGTAGCAGTGCCATGCGACTGAGTTGACGTACTTGCTTGCCCCGTTTATGACGTTTTGAGGGTAGGACGTCACATCTAGACACGAACTGTTAGTATATAGGCTCTGTAGAGACATCAGCTTCCAATTACATACCAGTGTTGTGATCATATGCCCATATCTCAGTATTCAAGCCGGCATTGGCAAGGGCCGGGCCGATATAGTTCTGAATTAGCTGTGCTGACTCGTAATCAAACACATACATAGTGGGATACCCGGCTTGGCTATTCAAAGGCTCATTTTGAATGGTGATCGCATCGATGTGAGCACCAAGCTTCTCGTAGGCCTGGATGTATTTGACGAAGTACTGTGCGAAAGCACTAGCATACCCGGTACTGCCAGTACCCGCACCAGTCAAATATCCATCGTTCAAGTTATTGTTGTTCGAGTTGCCATCGATCACACCGTTGAGCTTCATCCAACCAGGTGCACTCCATGGCGAGCCGAGAATCTTCAGACTGGATTGCAAGGATTTCATCTTGGCTAGCATCATGGCCATGGCATTTCCACGGTCGCCCAAGTTAAAGCCGGACAGGGATGGATCGGCCTTATTCCCGTTATCATCGTATGTATACGACGGGTCACCGGTCAGATCGGATGCTCCAATCGTATGCCGCATCAAGGCAAAACTGGCACCGGCACCGGTCATGAGTTCATTGAGTAGTTGTTGCAGCTTGGAGCTGGACAAGGTGTTGAAGGAGGTGACTGTTGCGTCGGTGACTGCGGCTCCGAATCCTGCAATTGTTTGTTTGTGTCCGCTGGATGTATCATCGATTGTCAACTTCCAGGTCGATTCGGAGCCTGGACTGCCGCTGCCTTGGACTGGGGCGGCGATTGAGGACAATTTGTAGTTGCCGCCGGAATTTGAGCAGTAGGCTGAGGCAGAAGCCGCTCGCTTTTCGGGGAGGCTCCCGTCAAGCCCGAAAGAAGCAAGACAGGAAAAAGAAAAAGATGCATGTTGGAAGTAGTCTTCTAGAAAGAGTGACTTGGTGGCTTCTTTTTCAAGGCTGATTGGGCTTGTAGTTGAGTATATTTCGTTGCGCGACCAGGAAGTATTTATGCACTGCACCGAATATAGAGTATCGCAGACCAATTCCCTAAAACGTGGACAGTGCAATTGCCGTGCAGAACTAACGAAGCTAAGAATCGTTAGACCACTAGCATTCAGCCGTAAGCCGAACAACAATACTACAGTATCACCGACTAATTTACGCCACAATTTCCAGTTTGCGGAGGTCCCTGAAGCTTGTATACTTCATTTCTCGGAATCTTTGCCAATCTGAGGATGGTTCGCCTTTCCGCTTACTTCCTCCCCCCGCATTTTGAGGAAGCAAGACGCCCAAGAATTTTATTTGTACCGCTACAGCCTGCATGCCCACTATTAGTATCTTGTTGCTTCTTCGGGGTTGAGTTACTCTCTGCACAGGTGGCTTCAAGCTGAAACACTACTATAAGCTGCACGGGCGTTGGCTGAAGCAGTGATTTAACGGGATCGGCAGAGAACGAGAACGAATGCCACTAAGCCTAGCTAGTATATCATTTAACTCGAAGCAAAATGTTTCCTTTTTCGAACCCATTCTTACTGGAACTGCTCTCTACCACGCTATACGGGAATTTCAGGCACCAAATAGGTCCACTGAAGCTTGGACCATGGTAACTTATGCATAAATTATGAAGGGGATTGAGTTCAAGGCACAGAGGCACAGCCTTACAAAATATATTTCGAGTATGATAGAGAAGAGTTGCGGACAGGTCGAATAACTAACATCCCACTTCCAAGATCGCCACAGGTGAAAATCCGGCAGTGGACCCTGTAAGAAAAAAGTGGGCGCGTCGAAGAATAAAGGAAGCTGGTTTGGCTGAAACAAGTCACTGCTGCTGCCGATGACGTCAACACAGTGGGAACAAGTCGTCGGTGAGTTCGAACCCCTCCGATTTATAACCCCCTCCAAGTTTTGATCCTTCTCACTATCTTCAATCTTTGAAATATTGTAAAAATGAGCGGCCACAAGTTCCCTGTTGATCTCAAGCAGTTCAAGCAACTGAAGCTGGACCCCAAGTCCACCACGCTGTCGGCTGAGCAGAAGAGCGATCTGCTTCACAACATTAATGTCTTCAGAGATGCCCTGATTGCCTTCACGGCCACTGGCGCCGCCCGTGGTGTGTCTGGTCACACTGGAGGCCCCTTCGATACCGCCCCCGAAGTCTGCATCCTGCTTGCTTTCATTAACGCCAACCCCAACAAATGGGTTGATGCTCTTTACGATGAGGCCGGTCATCGTGTCGCCACACAATACCTGCTGGCCGCAATGGACGGCAAGATCGAGCCCGATCACCTCCTGAACTACCGTGACGCCAACTCGCGCCTCCCAGGCCACCCCGAATTCGGCTTAACACCTGGTATCAAGTTCAGCTCCGGCCGTCTTGGTCACATGTGGGGCCTGGTTAACGGTATTGCTATGGCCAACAAGGACAAGAATGTCATCTTGTTGGGATCTGATGGTTCCCAACAGGAAGGGAACGACGCCGAGGCTGCCCGCCTTGCTGTCGCCCAGAACCTTAACGTCAAGCTCTTTATCGATAACAACGATGTCACAATTGCCGGCCATCCATCAGAGTACCTCAAGGGCTACGACATCGCCCGTACCCTTAATGGACACGGTCTGAAGGTTGTCCGCGCCGAGGGTGAGAATGTGGACTCCCTGTACGGCGCCATGTGCGAGGTTATCAACTACAACGGTCCCGCCGCTGTTGTCGTCGACCGCGTTATGGCCGCAGGCATTGAGGGCATTGAGGGCGAGTGCCATGCCCACGATGTCATCACCGTTGATATTGCCCGCAAGTACCTCACTAAGCGTGGATACAGCAAGGAGCAGCTCGCTTTCTATGATGAGATCAAGCCTGGCACGAACCCTCACACCTACAAGGGTTGCACCAAGGACAAGGGAAGCAACCGTACCATCTTCGGTGACGCCGTCAACGGCATCCTTGACGGTCTCAGCAAGGAAGAGGCCAAGCGCCGCGTGATGGTCATCGACTCTGACTTGGCTGGCTCCACTGGTCTTAAGTCCATCGGTGCTAAGCACCCCGAGTCCTTTGTTGCCTCCGGTGTAATGGAGCGTGGTAACTTCTCCGCCGCCGCTGGTTTCGGTTTCGGCAGCAATGGCGAGCGCCAGGGTGTCTTCTCTACCTTCTCCGCTTTCCTGGAGATGTGTGTCTCCGAGATCACCATGGCCCGTCTGAACGACTGTACCGTGCTGTCCCACTTCTCCCACAGTGGCGTCGACGAGATGGCCGACAACACCTGCCACTTCGGTCTGAACCACTTCTTCGCCGACAACGGCCTCATGGATGCCCCTATGACCTCGCTGTACTTCCCCGCCGACGGCGAGCAGATGAAAGCCGTCGTCAACGAAGTCTTCTGGAACAAGGGCATGCGTTTCATCTTCTCCACCCGCTCCAAGGTCCCTTACATCCTGAAGGAGGGCACAGACCAGAAGCTCTTCGGCGAGGGCTATAAGTTCGTCCCCGGCAAGGAAGAAGTCATTCGCAAGGGTTCCGCCGGTTACGTCGTCTCGTATGGTGACATGCTCTACCGCTCGCTCGATGCCGTCGAGAACCTGCGCGAACAGGGTCTCGATGTTGGTCTGATCAACAAGCCCACTCTCAACATTGTCGATGAGGATGCCATCAGGGTGTACGGCTCCTCCCCCTTCGTCCTGGTTGTCGAGTCCATCGCTCAGAAGACCGGTCTCGGCTCCCGCATTGGTACCCAACTCCTTGAGCGCAAGCTCAGCCCCAAGTTCAAGTCCATTGGTGCCGTCAAGGAAGGCTGTGGTGGTCTGTACGAGCAGGTCAACTCCCAGGGTCTTGGTCCCGCCGATATCATCGCCGCCGTGAAGGAGGTCGCCGGAAACTAAGCTTGACTCTGTGACGCCTGATGTGAAACATAACGACTTTTTGATGTGATAATACAAATTTCTCTTGTTCTCTGTAACCTGGTCTTCACCTTCCCACTCTCGTTAGTTCCTTGCTCAGTTTCTTTTTGTATGAGCAATCCCATTCTAGAGCGGTTATAACCGAACCCATGCAGCAAAAAATCTGCCAGCGTTAGTCCCTATTCGCGATGGCGGCAACTGACGGTTTTTTAGCTCACCAGCCAAGTCTCCACATATATCCGCCCACACGGCTGCTAATTGGCCACTCTTGTTTAAACAGGCTTGGCATATAGCCGATAGAGGCAGACTAGACCGGAAAGGGGATTAGATCTGTAAAACCTCAAAGCACGCAATCTTGCGAATTGATTAGGATAGGCCCGGGTGACATGAGGAAACGTGAAGTTTGGGATACAGTAGCATTTCGGGATCATAGCTAGAATCCTTTATAACTAACTGTTCGTCTGCCACCTGTTCCTCCAAAATCTTTTCTTCAGTTTGTTGTCAGTGGCTTGAGACGAAGGTTATAATAGGGTTATTACGCCCGTCTCAACCTTAACCGATAAACTAAAGCATGACCGAACAAAGTTCTCCCTCGGTATCCTCCGAGCATATTGCCCCCCAAGATGAAAAACGAGTGTGGTATCGCTCGACCCTGTTCAATGCATGTATCATTGGTGGTGTGGGCTTTATGGCCCCCGGCTTATGGAATGCCATGAATTCCTTGGGTGCAGGAGGCGCGCAGTCACCGTTCTTGATTAACGCAGCGAATGCGTTAGTATTTGGTCTGAGTACGTGGCTCTTTCCTTGTTGCTCGAAGAGGCTTTTGCAATTGCACCGTACTGACTTTTCATCTATAGTGGGCTTTTTGTGTCTTTTCGGTGGCCCAATTGCCAATCGTATTGGGTTGAATTGGACTTTGATGCTTGGTGCCGTGGGATATCCGATATATTCGTGAGTACTATGCTCTAAGTTGCATGAGACTGTGGATTGAATGGCATGGCTAACCTATATTCTAGGGCTGCTTTGTATACGAATAACCGCTATGTATGCTATTCGGTGGAGGATTTACACGACTTCAGGATTGATACTGATCATTTACATATAGGGCAATGTGTGGTTTGTTCTCGTTGGATCAGTAGCCTGTGGAATTTCGTGAGTCTGATCTCCGTGCCAGTACAGAAGTAATTACTAACCAGTATATATAGTGCCGGTCTATTCTGGGCTTCTGAGGGCGCCGTTGCTTTGGGATATCCCGAGCCAACAAAAAGAGGCAAATACATGAAGTCAGTCTTTTTTCTCTGCTAGAATTCCTGATTATGGATGATCATCTTGCTAACTTAACAAGTATCTGGCTGTGGTTCCGTACTGGAGGCCCGTTGCTGGGCGGTGCTATTGTCCTTGGGTTGAATCAGTATGTTTGGCTATACCGGTATAGAATGGTATTGAAGGAACTTTGCTGACAATTCAACCAGTTCAGGAGATGCCCACCGCAAGGGAAAGGTTGGATACCGTATGTTCTCCAGAAATGACGTTGAATATCTGAGCATGGATCCTCTAACCATTGAAATCAGAAACATACCTTATTTTTGTCGCGCTTCAATGCCTCTCAGTTCCCCTGGCTGTGTTCTTATCACCACCTGAGAAGGTACAGCGTACCGACGGAAGCAAGGTCAAGATTGTTATTCAAGGTTCATGGCGTGCTGAAATGGTCGAGCTCTGGAAGGTCTGCAAGAGGAAAGAGGTACGGTACATTCAAGCCATGGAAATGGGGTATATGGGACTGACTTTAGTAGATCATTTTGCTGCTGCCTGCTTTCTGGGCTGCGTACTTCAACCAATACGTCGGAAGTAGGTTCGCATAATCTCCAATTAGATATTTACATCGCTAATGCGATGATGCAGATTTCCAAACCTACTACTTTGGCGTTCGAGCTCGCGCCCTAATCGGATTCGTTGGTAACTTCTCAAACTTGATCTCTTCGGGAATTATTAGCAGATTCTTGGACTACAGCGGGATCTCAATCAAGAACAGACTCAAGTACAGGTAGGGTGGCCAGACATTTTGTGTCAGAAACAAGGGATAGCTAACGGAGAACCAGTTTCTTCTATGTGGTTGTCGTCCACGTCATCGCCTGGGTGTACTGCTGGGTCGTACAAGAAAAGTACACCAAGAACCCTCCTATGCTGGACTGGGCCGACAAAGGATTTGTCGAGGGCTTCTTCGTTGTCATGTTGTGGAGTGAGCCCCCTAATAAAGTACGCACATATTTTGACCCAAAGCTAATCAGTCTTGTTTTAGGTTTCTCTCAACAGGCCGCGCAGAACTTCCTCTACTATCTTCTGTCTACCATGACTGACAATATTTCTGAACTTTGTAAGTTGAGGACTCGACAGTGTATTTCCAGGTTACTTATATGATCTAGCTCGATTCTCCGGTATTCTCCGGGGACAAGAAAGTTTCTCTCAAGCTATTTCTTTCGGCATCAACACTCGGGAATGGCATGGTGGCAGAGTCCCACTTGCCGTCAACACGATACTCCTTGGTGGGTGATTCCAATCAAGTGTACGCTCGAATGAAATGCTAATTCTTTTGCTATAGGTCTCGCGGTCTGGCCTACTTGGCTCGTTGTTCGGGATCACAACCCCATTGAGCATGATAAGGAGGCTGCCCAGTTGTCTCATTGCAAGGACGAGGAGCAGAATACAGGCAGTCTGATGGAGAAGGAAGCATATGTTGCGAGTGAGGCTATTGCCACTAAGTAATGAGGGAGCAAAGGCGGGGCCGAAAAATTCTCTCGATCTACGATCGATTCGTAGCTCAGATGTAATGATAATAAGGAGCGAGTATTCAACAATAAGAATCACATTCAACTTGTGCTCCTAGATCTTCTGAGATTGGCCTCATTCTAGCATTCGCAAAAGTTCACATCCTATGTAAGATGGCTTATTTTGCCATCCTCAATTTCCTCACGCAGTTTGCGAGCCACCCGACTCTCGCTTTCTGGATCAAAGTAGGCTGTAGGAGAACTTAAGATTAGTGTCCAAATCATAAGTTATGACTTAATGAAAGGCTGAAGACTCACGCTGTTCTCCAAAAACAGTAGTTCTGATACCTCGTCTCAGTCCCTTGTAGGTACCAGGGATGACTCGATGGAGAGTACACCTAAGCAAGCATGAGCAAAACATAATCACCAATTGGTCCGTTGTGTGTAAATACCGATTATCCCACATAGCCACACTGCCAACAGCCCACTTCCAACGAACATAATGATCATCCGCCGAGTGGATGTGATATGCCAGAAAATCGAGAACCTTATCTAAGTGCACCTCTCGTCAGTCTGGCCAAGCTCATTGACAGAAGAATTTACTGACCAGATTCCACTTTCTTAAGCTCCGCAAAGCCAGTCACGAAACCCGGATTTACGTTCAGTGCCTTGAGTTTCGTGACTGGGTGTGTTCGCACGGCAGGGTGATGGGTATCGATTGGAGGGCGATTGGGACCGGCGCCCCACAAGTCCAGGATCGTATCATCTATGCACATAGTGAGTCTAAAGGTCTCTAGGTATGGGACTTTTTTTGAGAGCTGACACTGCAATCGTGACGTATGCACGGCATGGAGACTATCGAGGAATCTTTTGTATGCATCACTTAAGGTGTCATAAAGGCCATATTGAGAGACCTAGAAACATGTTTCAGCGCTAATGATTGACTACAGTAATTGGTTGATTGCTCACCCAGGCTGTGTCACCTCCGACTTCGGGGTGTTCTTCCATTCTCAGGAGAGAATATGAGGGAGCTTGAACTCATTTTAGTATTCAATACTAACGATTCTCTTCAGGACATACGGTTGATCTCAAAAGATGTATCGGCGTGGAAATCTCCACTAGCCTAGGAGGAAAGGGTTTTGTTAGTTAATCAATCTTTAACCACGCTAGACCCCTCTTACCCATGGGGTATAACTAAGGATTTTCCGATGATCCTCGCGACTTCCTTGGATATTGACGAACTTTTCTGCGGTTAGCAACAAAAAAAGTGATCGGCAGGGCAAGGCATGTACTTTTTGGTCCTAATGTCTGTTACTAGATTGAACATATGATCACGGGCGGGAACAGCTCAAGTTACCTTTTGAGCAGGGTGTCTATCCAGGATTCCTGTATGCATATCAAAATTAATTTGAGCCACCGACTATTGGTATCCGGTGTTCCCACCATAGTGTTGAAATAATTCAACCTGCTTCTCCGTATCAAGATCCTGATCACGAAAGAAGACAACTCCCCGTTCATTAACAAGAAGTGCCAACTCATCAAGCTGGGTGCCATTTAACTGGGATAACTGGACATTTTCTAGGACTGTTCCAAGTGACTCGGTCAAATCCACTTGCTTTGCCACAGAAAACAATGCTTTCTTCTCTGGGTCCGCGAAAAAGGCTCGGTCTGTAGGCGGAGTAAATGGTTCGCGAAGTGGCTCCGGAGGGACGTGATTCTTGATCTTGTCGTTGAAATGGGGATGGAGGGTGATTGGGAAGCCGGAGTCCGGGGATATATGCTTTCGCGCTTCTAACTGAGCCATATTCAAAACCTTGATAATGGAATTATTATGAACTTGGTAACAATAATAATATTTTCTGAAGGTAGTTGAAATGGAATGGTGTTGACAGGTATTTATGTCCCGGTCAGCTCATACTCGGTAGCGATTGCGTCAAAACGCCATAGACTCAATCTCACATCGATGGCCCAATAGCATCGGAATTTTTGCCTCCAAGTCTTTTGAGTTTTATCAATTGTCATGTCGAAGATGTTGGGTATACTCACGCAATACACTGCTCAAACATCCCCAGGTTAAGGATGTCATTTTAGTGGATAGACAATGAGCTTGTGAAACAATGCATATGATAGATTGAGGACTCCTACGGAGGAGAGAGGGTTAAGAGGATTCAAAAAAATTCATGATTCTCTATGAAGGAGCGCAGGCTAAATAGTCCTAGAGATCAACTTAGTTACCAGTTTACGCGGGGGACAATCCGTACGACAGCACGTGATACGTATAGACAGGTGACGGTAGTAGTAATTGGGTGAATGCAAAAAACCAATCATCATCAAATTTACACCCTTACTTTCGAACATACGTAACTTAGTGTTAAATCACTACAGTTAAATGTGTTAGGCCGTTCCGTGCAGAGAGAACGCGGGTCCGATTCCTGGAGATCGCCCCGGTAGATCCCGGTGGGGTGCCTTCCTTTATTGTCCATATTCTTTTTCCTTTCCCTCTTCTCTTTTACCGGTGTTTCTTTCTAGTCATCCTGACGCGGTTGGTTTGGATGCAGATGGCTACGGCAGCCGTAACTATGTCTGCGTAAGACTGCGATACTAAGGATCAACCGGATCATTTCTTTACCGGACAGCTCACTATGGCCTTGTACGCTTACTCGTATAATATTGTACCTTGCCGCAATGACCAGAAAAGCCAGGAATCTCTCTATAGAAGACCTGTTGGCATAGATTTAGACTATGCGGCAACTTTAGAAGTAGAGACCCACATCGAGGCCCACTTTTTCACTTCCTCTTCCCCGCGCCGCGGAATTTCCCAAGTCGACCTCTCACATCCCAGCATAGCTAGCTGCATATCCGCCACATGGGCTCGCTACAACAGTGATTCGGTGAGGAGACGCCGTTATCTTCCCTTACATAGGGAGCCACAACCATACCCGTGTATCGCCCCGAGCTTCGCCGAGAAACCCCGCGGACACTTGCCTCGATCTGTGCATATCGAATCAACATGGAAAGTGGAGATGAGAGGCCTTATCGGTCCCACACGAAGCCTGCATGTATACCTTGCCGCCGCAGGAAATCGCGATGTAAGATTGAGCCTCACTCAGAGGACTGTCTCATGTGCCGTGTCCATGGCACGGAATGTTCATTTCCTGACGGCAGAGCAAAAAGGACACCCCAAAAGCGGCGTGCATCGAAGGTTGCTCCAGTGCTACCACCTCCATCATTAAGAGCACCTGCTGCATCTGCTCAATCGCTGGGCATATCCCCTCTTGTGGCAGCTTCACCTCAGTTCCCAATTCCAACACAGGAACAAAGCGATCAGGATACACCTTTGTCTCTTGAAGCTGAAGACGACAATCCGCACATTCTTGGGCCGGCGGTGACTGGTGATAATCACATCTTGGCTGATTATCTCTCAAACATTTCAGGTGGACAAGGAATTCGTGAGATTCGTCCCGTTGAGCCTGGCAGCTCCTCGTCTCCTGTGATCTTTACAAAAGTACAGAAAAGACCATTCGGTCTGACTTGGAATTCCAACCCGGCACTTCATAAGTTGCAGGTTATTGAAAAGCTCGTCGAACCATGGGGTCCGCATCTTATTGATCTGTTAGTCTACACCACTCCTTGTCTCCGCGCTATTCCGGGACTCATCGAAACTCACGACGTTTTCTAGGTATCTGAAGAAGATCAACCCTTGTATGCCCCTACTTGACGAGAAGTCATTCCGAGCACAGTATACAAGTGCTAGACATCGCATCTCACCGGCGTTGCTAGCATGTCTGTATGCCCACATGCTAACATTCTGGCAACACGATCCTCTTCTGTCATACGAAAGGTGTCCGGACGTTCGTTTTGTCTGGAATCTTGCCATTGAAGCATCGTACTCTGAGCTGCACGCCTCTGCTGGAATATCGACAATCAAAGCCATTTTACTTGATGTAGGTGGCCGCCCAACGACATCAATGACAGGCAATGGTGTCAGGCTTGCTTCGGCGACTGCTTTGTGTCATTCTTTGGGATTAAATCGGAATCCCCTGCCATGGGACATTCCAAAAGCCGAGAAATATTTGAGAATGAGGATATGGTGGTCTATATTGCTTCATGACCGCTGGTGAGTATTTACAAGCTCTGATCGACGTGGGAAATATTAATATTTTTGATTGCACAGGTCCAGCCTCGCATATGGCACACCTCCTCACATCAGAAGATCCCAATATGACGTGCCCCTACCAATGCCTGAATATCTATCGGGCTCAGAGCGAGACAGCGAAGCCAATGCGGTGTTTATTGAGCTCATGCGCCTAACGGAAGTGTTGGATCTCTGTCTGGAGCACGTTTACAACATTCATATTGCCGCAGACCATCCAACCAGGAATCTTGAGTTGGAGTTGAATAAATGGGTTGATTCACTCACTGGGAATATCCGCAGGATTGTCATTCGGGGCTCGAACCTCGAGACCCCCGGAGCCTCAAATCTGCGTCTAGCATATTTAGCAACATGTCTTCTCCTCCGACGAATCGACCTAGATCGAGAAAGACGGTCAGAAGTTCCCAGTGGAGAGCAGATGGCGAATCGCATCATGGAGGCCCGCAGAACCGCAGAAGACATTGTGTTTTTGGTCCAGGAACTAGGCGAAGCACAATTGGGAGACTTTTGGCTTCCTGTTGTCGCATTCACATTTTCATCAACTGTGACATTCTTGATTCGTTGCGCATTGGAGACAGAGCAGGCGGCCGGTCTATCACAAAGTACCTCGCTTCGGATGGCGAATGACTTCTTAGCATCTTTGCGATCGCACCAGAAGAACTTTGGGTGGGACCTCGCTGATATCTGTTTAGCCCAACATTCGGAAGTCATTGAGAAGCTGTTGAGATCGGGACCACCAGCCGATACTTCTGATGTAACACATGCCGAGTTAAGTCAGCATTTCATGCCGGATATGTCGTTTGTGGATGACATGTTCCCAAGCATTTGGGATACGTTGCAAAGTATATAGACCGAATGTAGCACGGAATGATTACATGAATATACATACTACCTTAGGTTTGCCCATCTATACATGCCAACAAAATCGATTCAATAATGGAATGTCCTCGGGATCTGTATAAGTGGGTCTCAAGTTGGCCGCGGCTCCGCGGCGAAAAAGCAGCAGCAACCCATGTTGCAATGTGGTTGGAGGTCAGAACTCAACTGATAAGATACTAAAGAGACCAGGTCACATTGAATGAAAGGTTGCAAGTAACCGGACACATCATCATCTCCTACACACTACAGCCCAAATGGCACCCAGCATCAATAGCGATAACAAGGTTACTACAACCACCTCAAACGAAGATAACGGCCTCCTCTTATACAACAACGTCAACCAACAAGTTCTTCAAGAAAAAACAAGCAGATACCTCTTGAAATACGGAACAGAATTCAACAAAGATGTTATCTGTGGCAGCAAAGGCCTATACGTCTACACAGCATCCGGGCACAAAGTGCTAGACTTTACGTCAGGACAAATGTCCTGTCTCCTCGGGCACGGCCATCCAGAAATCGTGAAAACAATCGCAGACCACGCAGCCTCCCTGGACCACCTCTTCTCAGGCATGGTCTCGCCTCCAGTAATCAGTCTCGGCGAACGCCTCTGCAATCTACTCCCCGCGGGCCTCGACAAAGCATTTTTCCTGTCAACCGGAGGAGAAAGTAACGAAGCCGCTATCAAAATGGCCAAAATATACACCGGAAAATTCGAAATCGTCGGCTTGGGTGCCAGCTGGCACGGCGTGACCGCCCAAGCACTAGGCGCTCAATATCACTTCGGTCGCAAAGGTCAGGGACCCCTGATGCCGGGGATGCTGATGCTCCCGCCACCAAACGGGTATCGCTCTATCTTCCGCCGAGCTGATGGATCCTATGACTGGGAAGCGGAGATGGAATATGGTTGGCGGATGATCGATATGCAATCGTGCGGATCGCTGGCGGCCTGTATTGTTGAGTGTATCCAGTCATCGGGTGGTATGCATGTCCTGCCACCGGGATATCTTACCGCTCTGAAGCGAGAATGCGAGAAGCGTGGTATGCTTTTGATCGTTGATGAGGCGCAGACAGGTGTCGGTCGATGCGGTGATTTGATGGCTATCAACCACGAAAATGTTGTGCCTGATATCCTGACGCTTAGCAAGACGCTTGGTAATGGACTGCCGCTGAGTGCCGTTGTCACTAGCGCTGAGATTGAGCGCGTTTGCGTCGAGCGAGAGTTCTGCTTTTATACTACCCACATTAATGATCCCCTCCCCGCAGCTGTTGGTGACAAAGTTCTTGAGATTGTTGTGCGCGATAACTTGGTTGAACATTCACGCGCAATGGGCAAGATACTTCATGATCAGCTAAACAGCTTGAAGGATAAGTACGGATGCATTGGTGATATTCGTGGACGAGGTCTTATGGCCGGTGTCGAGATTGTTGAGGATCGAGAGACGAAGACACCTGCTTTGGCTTTGGGTAAGACCATCGGTGATCGTGCCTATGAGCTAGGCTTGTGGGCCAACCTTAGCAGCCATCCCAGCTTTGGAGGCGTGTTTCGAATTGCTCCTCCAATCACTATTACTGAGGATCAACTGCTGAGTGGCTTGAAGATCTTGGAAGAGGCTTTTGCTATGACTTCGGGTACAATGCCGCTGTGACTTTTGCCTGACTGAAGACAAGTGAAGTTATTATTCTTTAGTCCCACGATCTATGCCCACCTTGATCGACGGAGGATATTTCTGTTCTAGAAAGAATGTTACATCACTCAATACATCGTTGTCTAACTGGACGTATTCACATAAAACTTGTGGGTAACCCTCTTATTACATTGTCCCATTGATTTAAAGTTGCTGTGCTGGGGCGGACATATCAAAAACCGGACAAGGACTCTCACGGCCTTGACATAGTCCGCGAGGAGCGCGGAGCCGAAGGGAGGATAACACTAATCCACACCAGGGTATCCTGAAGCATTACTCCGCTTAATTTGCTCTGGAACAAGCTTTATTCTCTGACCATCCAGTTATTTCCGGCCTTTGCTACCCCGGACTCCAACCAGTCAAGTTGCGGGGGGAAATCTGGAGAAGACAGGTTCACCAGCGGAATCTAGAGTACATGGTGCGGATTAGTTGCGCTAAATTCTTGGCTTCTTGGCGCTCAATCTCATCACTACACTTTCCAATGAGAACGCATTTTTAAGGCCTTATTTTAGGGGAGCAGGACGAGGAACCGGGGTCTCTTCATCCGCTCTGCTCCAGGATTATCAGTTATAAATGCCCTTGACTCGCTGGTTGCATACTTTACATCTGCCTGTTCATTCCATACACCGGGCAGAGTATCGCCATTATATTCCTCTCGTGGAGCTACTTATCTCTCCCTTTGAATCGATTTTAGATCCGACAGAGACAACGTTTGAGACCATACCACTCTTTTCTGAGAAAATGAAGAAGGCTTCAGACCTTGCTACCAGAGAGAAAGAGTCGAACGACACCCACATTGAGGATGTCGGCCCGCTCAAGCTAGCCGATGAAAAGGGCCAGGGAGATTACTCCGGTGCTACAGCCAAGACTGATCCACTGGAGATCAAACTAGTTCGCAAGCTGGACATGAGATTCATGCCTATTATGTGGGCCATGTACTTCTTGAACTACGTGAGTAAAGCGTCCATGCCTTCAAAAATATTTCTGTCTAACGCAAGAACTCAAGATTGATCGCAATGCTATTGCCAATGCACGCCTGAATAACCTCGAGGAGGACCTCGGCTTAGTTGGAACGCAGTACAACACTTGCATCTCGATCCTGTTCGTTGGGTACGAATAAAGCCAACAACATTACCCAAAAATCTCCAAGCTAATCCGCCATTATTTACCAGCTACCTACTAATGCAAATTCCATCCAATATGCTCATGTCCTCAAAGAAAGTCCGACCATCCCTCTACATGAGCATTTGCATGGCCAGCTGGGCCATAGTATCCGCCTGCACAGCTCTAACAAAGAACTACACCAGTCTCGTCCTCGTCCGATTTTTCCTCGGCGTAACCGAAGCTCCCTTTTACCCAGGCGCCCTATTCCTCCTGTCCCTCTTCTACACACGGAAAGAAATAGCCCTGCGCATCTCAATCCTTTACTCAGGAAATATAATCGCCACAGCCGTCGCCGGCCTGATCGCGGCCGCGACATTCGCAACCCTAGACAAGAACCTCGGGTTAAAGGGATGGCAATGGCTATTCATCATCGAGGGCGCAGTTACATTCGGGATCGCTGGTTTGGGCATCTTCATGCTCCCAGATCATCCATTGACAACCCGCTGGCTTACCCCAGAGGAACGCCAACTCGCCCACGACCGCATTCAAAAAGATACAGTCAACAGCGAAGAATCCAAGGGCGCACTAGCAGGCTTGAAACAGGCGATGTGTGACCCGCGCTTATTTCTCTTGGCCTTCATGCAGAATATGCATCTGAGCGCGTGCTCGTTCAACAATTTCTTCCCGACTGTTATTGGTAGTCTCGGGTTCAACAGTACTATCACTCTAGTCCTGACCTGTCCTCCATATATCGTGTCCGGTATCAGCTGTGTGATCATCGGTATTACATCTGGACGGTATAATGAGCGGACGTGGCATATCACCATCTCGATGGGTGTTGCTGTTGTGGGCTTCGTTATATCCTGTGTGACTTTGAATACGGGTGCTAGATACGTGTCTTGCTTTCTCTTTGCTAGCGGTGCGTATGCTGTTAACTCGGTGATTCTGGGTTGGGTTTCTGCGACGTTGGGTCAGACGCCTGAGAAGAAGGCTGCTTCGCTTGGGTTTATCAATGTTGTGGCTAATGCGTCTTATATTTATACCGCTTATCTCTATCCGAAGAGTGATGGCCCTCGTTACTTGACTGGCATGGCGTCCAATGCTGCTTTTGGGTTTGCCACTGTTGCGAGTGCTTGGGTGTTGAGGTGGTGGTTGAAGAGTACAAACCGAAAGATTAACCAAGGGGATCTTCCCGGTGCAGGCAGCGATGTTCTTTACGCATATTGAGTGTGTTTTGATGCCCCTCGAGAGGTCGATGGTGGTTAACTAGGCTACTACTGCTGGGCAGTCATTTGCAGCTATAAAGATATGAATAAGTTAATCGCCAAATCTCCCTACTTAGGAGCAGTCATTTCAGTTGTATTTACATTTCTATGCCTAAAATATTTGTTATTCGTCTTACGAGTGCATATGGTAAAGCTCAACATAGGATGCTGTTGCGAACTAAGAGGAACAAGGTATTGAATACATTTTCTGCGTGTCTTAGCTTCCTCGGTTATCGATTTATGACCATCGACTACTGGGCCCCAACACCATGGAGAGGTACTGCACATCGCCAGTGGGAAGCACAAAATATACCTCACGGGGCTCAGGGCAAGGATGGAGAACAGGAAGCCTGCTCCTAGTCTCCGAACGTGGGCGCGTATCTCCTTATTTATCCATTCCGACTACGGCACTCGACAAGTACCATTAACGCAACCCCAGCTTCGCGGGAATGCCATAGTATGGAAGCGCACTCAAGATGATGGTGTACTCTAAATCCATGAGGTAAATAAGATCACTTCCGGTGTCCTTTTCTCTTTGTATATACAATGTATTTGGTGGCTTTCACAGGTGGTCGGCCAACTACTAGATGGGTGGATCCCGAGACCGTTGAGATATCCATTGATTCAAACTCGGGGCATGTAAATCAAACGCGGTTCACGAAACCGGCCGTTTGACTGCCCTCATATCTAAATGTCTTCAATGATCTAAGATAACATGGTCAAATGGCTATCTCGAAGTCAATTTGCCATAGCAATTTTGGGTGTTTTGTTGAATTACCTCCTAATGGCGTATTATCCCGGTTCCCTTTGCAAACGTGAAGCAGCTCATTCGGTACGTGTATTACTTCGCCCTTTACTCAAGCTGGCCTATGAAACCAAAACAACGGTCCGTGGGAAATAAACTTTGCTGCCTATCCTCCCCAGTGGTCAACCGGGAAGACCGCGGCTAAAATAACTCTATCGGCTATACTTTTAGGGGGATCTCACAGAGCATGATCTGGACCACTCTTCTTTTGCCACACTACTACTCGTCCAGCGTTCGAGAGTTTAACAAAACCCGGTTATTCGGTCTGGAACGTGCTGAACGTTCAATCTCTACCAGATGCCTCGTGGTTACCGGCTCATTCCATGGTTAGAGCTAGCTAGATGACATCACCTACTAGGTTGATATATGAGGTATCGCTAATGGACTCCAACCTAACCGGCAGCGGTCAACTGACTTCCAGAGGACAGCCTTCAACTCTATCCACGAAAGCTAGACACCTTCTCCAGCCAGATGGTCCTCCCCGTCTTCGTTAGAAACTCTCGGGATAAGCGCTCCTGGCTTCATTGATTCTCACTGTTGACGGTCTCGATCAATTATTTACACCCATTCCTAATAATTTCACCTATATACCTATATCTGTTTCCGTTTATGGCATTTTTGGCACCATGCCTAGACGAGCAGACTCGAGCCTCCATTTCGAAGAAGCTGCTAGCCATCCTATCCTTGACGGCGATATTGAAAGCATTGGGAACGCCTTCAGAGAAGTACAGCATTTCCATCAAGGCCTTCACCAGCGCCATATCCAAATGATTGCATTAGCTGGAACAATTGGAACCGGTTTGTTTCTCAGCTCCGGCCAAGCAATTGCGACTTCAGGTCCTTTAGGTGCCTTCCTTGGGTATATGGTTACTGGCATCGCTGTTTCCAGTGTTGTCTTTGCTGTGGGAGAGATGGGTTCCCTAGTGCCCCTTAGTGGAGGTGTTGTTCGATATGCAGAATATTTTTTCGACCCTGCAATGTCCTTTGCTGATGGGTGGAACCAGACATACTCATATTTGGTATCCGTTCCTACAGAAATTGTTGCTGCTGCGGTGTTGGTTGAATTCTGGAGTACAATTAATAATGCAATATGGGTTACTACATTTGGACTGCTAATGCTTATTACTCCACTGGTGTTTATCAGAATCTATGGAGAGATCGAATATTTCTTCTCCATGCTGAAGATAGCACTAATTATTGGGCTAAATATCATGGCTCTTGTGGTTACCTGCGGTGGAGGACCGAATGGTGAATCCATTGGATTCAGATACTGGAGAAACCCAGGGCCATTTGTCCAACATTTAGGTATCCATGGTTCTTTGGGTCAATTTCTTGGTTGCTGGACATCTTTCTCCAACGCAGTCTATGCATACTCAGGGATTCAGAATGTCACAGCTGCTGCAGCTGAGACAAGGGCACCAAGACATTCAATTCCACGGGCTACAAAACGCATTTTTGTCAGAATCTTTGGTTTCTACGTCTTGTCAATTTTCATGGTTGGTTTGATCATCCCATCAAACGACCCAAATCTTCTTCAAGGGATTGCCACTCATCCCACAGCTTCTCAATCACCATTTGTTATTGCTGCCCAGCGTGCTGGGATCGCAGCTATACCGTCGATTATTAACGCTGTCATAATTACTTCGGCTTGGTCTGCAGGTAATTCGGAAATACTTTTTGGCTCCCGGATTCTCTTTGGCATGGCAGCTCATGGACATGCTCCCGCAGTCTTCAAACGGTTAAACCGCTTTGGTGTTCCTTATGTTTCCGTTATTCTTTTCGGAATTTTTATGATCTTGGGGTATATGTCGCTCGACGAGTCATCCAGTACAGTTTTTAGGTGGCTGCAAAATATTGTAGCTGTCTCTACCTTAGTGGATTGGGGTATCATCTGCATTGTATACCTCCGATTTTACTATGGGTGCAAGAAACAAGGGATCAACCGATATAAGGATCTTCCTTGGGCGGCCCCTTTTCAGCCCTACTCCACCTGGGCATCGCTTACGTTGTTCGTCCTTTTACTATTTACTGGTGGGTACAGTACATTTGTACACGGCCACTGGAGCACTGAGACTTTCATGTCGTCCTACATCAATATTCCGATAATTCTGGTGCTATACTTTGGCTACAAATTCTGGAAGAAGACTAGTATCCGTCCTTTGGAGACTATTCCGATTTCTGGTTTTGTTCAGTTTTATCTCTGCCAGGAACACCCCGAGCCCGAGCCCGAGCCTACAAAGGGTCTCAAAAAGTTCAACGTTTTGTGGTCATAGGGTCAGTTGAGAGAGCATAATCGGTAGGTAGCTTATAGCATGGGTATATTTTAGATTAAGCTGATATTTGACAGTCCATGGGTGGGATCCCTTCAATGAGTGGGCGTAGACCTGGCTGTGACCCGCGACCTACCCGTAGAGGTTTAGGGTCTAACCTCAGCGACTCTCACCCGGACCGCGGGTCGTGCGAGTCGCTTAAGGTGACCTTAGAGCAGATATATCCAGAGGCAGGTATAAAGCTGGTATTTGCCTCCATACTCGCCAGACTTGAATCCCATTGAGGAATTCTTTTGCTAAGCAGAAAGCCTTCATTCGACGGCATTGGGAGTTGTACAAAGATAATCCTAGCCAAGGGTTCGATAGCTTCCTTGAATAGTGCGTCGATATAGTTAGAGCAAGGGAAGAAAGCGCAAAGTGACACTTCCGGCACGCGAGATTGACTGTCAAGGAAATACAGTAAAGCGCAGCTGCCTATAGTCACAGCAGAGTTCAAAACCACGTTCTTTGCTACAGAGTAAATGACCTATCAACTTTCTTCATTCAGGTTTTAGGTGGGGTTTTCTGAATCAAAAGCAAGCCACGGGTCCGACTACAATGAGGTCGAGCATCAACTTTGTCGACGTATTGACACTCAGTCGACAAACAGATCAAGTTGAAGCTCCAGATCACCATTAACTTGTGCTTTCTTGAAATATCTTTCGCAGTGGTAGCTTTCTAAAGTTAGTACTGGATTCGCAAGCCTCCGAATCAATAAGGAAGCAGGGGGCTGCATAAGCCCTAGTAGGAGTAGATTAACTTACGCCCAATACACCGTACCAACAACAACATCCTTACAACCCTCAACATACTTCAGTATATCTGCGTCGAGTTTAGCATCTCCAGAGGGAATTGGCAGGCTGGCTTCGGCTGCTGTGCAAAGTGCAAAGCGCTCTTGGATAGTTTCGAAAACTTTCCTAATGGCGCTTTCAATGTTAAGATCATAGTGATACGCAAACAACAGCACAATATTTTCGACTTGTTCGTCACACTGCGTATATGTCAGCTTGATAATGTGTCTCTCGTAGAAGGGGAGTTATGCACAAATTCCTTCTGTAACGACAGGATGTCATTCACCCTATATCCGATTAGACGACTTTTCAAGCTGCAGGATCCTATGGTGGAAGGTACTTACAAGCCACCTAAATTTGCACACTCCTGGGAGATGACCTTAATTGCATCGTGCTCGTGAACCCACCGTGGCAGTTCGTAACCAAGGGCATATCTGAAGTTCACAGTTAGCATGTCACATTGTTGTCTCATCTAGACTTTGGGCTGTACGACGGGCATACTCTTGCAAGACAGCGGTTGGAATAATTCCAACATTGACAGTCCGGAGCCGGAAATAATCCCACGGATCTAGAATTTTGCCAATTTGACACGACTGTTTTTCTACAACAGAGTCAATCCAATCATGGAAGGCTCGGCGGAAATTATCCGCCGATACTAAATAACCAGAGTTAGAACCCCCTAGAAGGAGGGATCACCAAAGGCTCACCTAGTCCCATATGTTCACGGAACTCGGCCAGAATAGGGTAAAGCATCTTCACAGATTTGCGTATGTCTGGGGGTGGGCTGAAGTTCGGGCTTGAGCTCATGCAGTCTTCGATACATTTACCAAGTTGCCGACAGGAGTCTAGAGCGCCTGCTCTGTCCTCGGCAAGCTGGCCGCCAGGATCGACTTCTGATAAATATATTAGGAAAGAGTTCGAACGAAAGGGACTCGCATGATACCATCGTCCCAGATACCCCACTAGGATCTACTCGTTAACAAAAGTCTCACAAGCAGAAGTCTCAATATAGCTTACCCAGCAGACAAACTTTGCCAAGACCAGTAATTTTTCTTGCGAGGTCTCAGGATAGAAAACTCCTTCCAAAAAGATGTAATTCCCCTTTGTGAGGGCAATTTTGCTCTTCTCTGTCAGTTCGAGACTAGTGAGAAATTAGCCAAGGTGATTTTTATATTTGAAATAGCGAAGAACATGCTTATTCAGCCAAGCACGGTAGTCCTTTTCCGTGGCATGGACGTGGGGGTTGACTTCACAGCGCCAGCCAGGGAGAAGCGAAAGTATGTTTGGTACGACAATTTTCTGGTTTTTGTGTTTCTCTATCAGAGTCTTTCGTTCTGTAATTGACTCTGGTGAGATAGTAACCATAATGCCGCGTGAGTGGAATGCGAAAAATGGAAAGGAGCCGATCAGGCAGGTCGTGTGGAAGCCAAATCGACGTACAGGAGATATTGGTGAGAGTCGAGAAGGTGGAGCTCTGGTTAGCGACAGCTAGTGTGATACTCGATCCTTGCCAAGCGCAAACCCCCCAACAAAAGAAAAAAGGAGCTACTCCATACAGTAATGAGACACGAGGTACATGTATCACTTGGCGTAAAGTACCGTATATGTAATGTAGCAGGAATATTGATACTCCAGGTTTTTTCCAAATACGGGATAGTAGAGTTGGCATTAGGGTTGGGGAAACAATCGAAGAGTGTAGGTGGTGACACCAGTTTCGGGAAGTACTGTACAGGGATCTCGCTCTATAGTGTACCATGACCATGAAACGGAGTCTCTCTTGCCCACTTCTCCTTTGGCCACATAGATGCTCTAAACCCCTACTAGAACGGAACATACTTCAACTATGTTAGGGCCTTGCGAGGTCCTAGGGTAGCGATATGAGTTCGGGAGATAGAGGCTATCGACAAATGTATGTGCAGATGTATTAAGAGACTAATTGCTAGTCCTCCATGCGAGGACCAGCGAGCACAATAAATACATGGTGCGCTTAGCTAATATACTTAGCGACATGCACGGCCGTCGTGGTCCATGTGTGCGATCAGCTACCCTCGCATTGCGAGGGCAAGGCTCGCTGTATACCTTCAGGCATCCATCAGGCACCTCGCAGGTTGGGGTCCTGACAAACTACTCCCTCTTTCTAGATCTGGTCTATGCCAGATAACATTATGCCGTCCAATACAACTTGCCAGGCTATTATTCATATTCGAGACCTTATCGACTATGTTAAACCGGATCCTATACGCCCCGGTAAAGGTCTTTCAATGCAGCTCCGTACTTCACTCCACATACCGTGCGTAGACATTCAATTAGACGATATTAAATAGAATGAAATTTCCACCTTAGTTAGATTTTTTAACAAGAGCAATTAGTCTAACCTTTATAAGCTAAACACTTTTTGTCTATGGTTCTTTCCTAACTACCTCGTCCGACGACGAGAAATTTCATATTGTCCTCTACGCCTATAAATTAGACCGGTTAGTTTGTCCTATCTACTATAGAACAAAGCTTACAGAATCTAGTCATCCGGGTAATAAAGAAGATACCGAATCGTATTTTATACACTATCCCGAGGCTGCCTAGCTAATAGTGACGTTTCTCGGTATTGTTATTAAACGCGGTGGTTATCTAAACGATAGGCTAACTCTTCTTCACTACCGTCTCCAGACAACTATCTATAATACTTTAACCCGAACCTATTAGAGCTTTCATATCACTACGTACTTTAAAAACGGTTAGCGTTAGGCGAACTTTCTACCACTAAGCATAAACATTCATATTGTAACGGAATCCTCAGAAGCCATGCACAGATCTCTCGCACACACGAAGGATCGACACTATATAAGTGTCGACACGTCAGCGTTCGCTCACCGTACCGCTGATCCCCTATGTTAAATAGCTTGCTCTGGAGAACCCAGCGGTTCTCCAAGAATCAGTCTCTGTTTTCCTCCAATATATTGTTCGCTTCCAGGCATCTTCGTCTTACCTAGTTGATAGGCTCTATCCTACAAACACTAGAACCCTCTTCTTCACACATATTTTCCTGATAGGTCGTATTTTCGGCCTCACAAAAGAACATCGCTTGTTAGCTATTATTACTAATAATATACATTTTCTCCTAACACTAACTCACTATTTGCCACCTACTCCTTCCTCGACTAGTAAACAGAAGCGTATAAACCGTGGGTCTTAGAGAGCCGGCCTATAGACCCTAACCAAATCAGCTATAAGATCACAGACTAAATCAATTCCTATCACACACTAGTTCTAGGAATCCCCTAAAATAATTGCACCTAATGATCAGGATAAGGAGGCCACGCAAATTACGTGGCTAGATACTGCCGACGAAGCCAAAATCTTGCCACATGTAACGGAATCCTCAGAAGCCATGCACAGATCTTTCGCACACACGAAGGATCGACACTTATATAGTGTCGACACGTCAGCGTTCACTCACCGTACCGCTGATTTCCCATGTTAAATAGTCTGCTCTAGGAGAACCCAGCGGTTCTCCAAGAATCAGTCTCTGTATTCCTCCAATATACTTACACTGTCAGAATACGATAGCTAACTAACATTACTGGTTTTCCTATTTTTCAAGATGATGTGACTATTAGTCAGATGCTTTCTACCTCCTCATTGGTCAACGTTCACTTGCCTTCCAAGTCCCAAGTACCAGTCAAGCAAACCAATAATATTGCTTTGACTTCTTGTACCTGCCTTTCCTTTTTGATCGTTTCAGGGCATTAGCGTGCGAAGCGCGCGTCACCAGTTCCCTTGCTCTCATTGGTCTTGTACTTGTCCCCTCAAGTGTTATCGCTTCAATTTCTTTTCTGTTCCGCTCTCACTATCTCATTCTTATTACTCATTGCCACCTCCCTGTTTCATTGCTCTTAGTCTGCTCTTGCGATTCGCCTGTGTGTTCCTTTAATTGCGTTTCAGCCCCTTGCACTTACGAAATCCCCTCCTAAAGGTATCTCTGGCAGACCACACACTGCGATCCATGTCACTCTAGCCACCTCGAAACCCCCTGGTAGTTATTGTATTTTCTTTCACTGCGTCTGTAAAGCAATACTGCGGGGCCTGCTTGCCACTGGGACTTGTTAACTCGGAGCTTACAGCAGCAGGCGGGCATGGACCAGCACACTTTGGGGAAAGCATTACCCCCACCTGAGCTAAACGGTGGCTCCGAGAGGGCTGAAATGGGAGATAAGGGGGGTGTGCAATCTGAATTTCAGGGGTCGTGAAGCTTTGAATGCTGAGTTCAAGCCTGGCACCACTTCCTCGGTCAGCATCACGAATTTGGGGCCATTCAAAAAGGAGTGCAAATGCAGTCAGGCCCTCCATAGGTCGGTTGCTCATCTTAGCAACGCGGTACTATATCGTTCGATCCGAGACCGCGAGTGCTGAGCTCCTGAGGCAAATGAGGGAAATTGGTGAGGTTGATCAGCGAAGACCGAGTCTGAGGAGAAGAGCAAGAAAAGAGGCGAGGGAAGGCTATTTTATATTATTCTTGCACGAGTAACATAGGTCTGCACTCTCCCTTCCTCGCTTCATCTTTGGTTCCTACAGCCTCCATCCTTCGACCTTGCCACCACCCAAAACGAGTTCTACCTACTCTGGCATAACAAATCAGAGGCCACAAATACGACTATTCTTTCATGCTTCCCGTTCCAGCACAATTCATCGAAGGATGCCAGGCACCAAGGTGCTGGTGTTGAAGACCGTTTTTGTCACAGTTGCCTGGGAGTTGCGGAACAAGAAGCGGCCGCGAGGAACCGCTCGGATAACTGATAACTCAACATGCGCCGAGCCTCGCTTTCCCAAACAGTTAGCTTCGACCTTCAGCTATAACTAAAACAAGTGCAAAGAAAGAGAAGAGCGAGAGTGTTTATTACCCATGGTACAATGGCTATCAGTGAAATAGCCGTTCACATAACAATCGCCCTCACCCCCGGGTTAATCTGATGGTCCCACGTACTGCGTCTTGATTAGGCTCTTGTTCTCAAGAATTTCTTTTACCTTGACAGTCAAAAAAAGATATGGGAAGATATCATACCAGTTATCTTTATAGCAGTCTCCCCGCTTGTAACACGCAAAGTACAAATTCTCACCCGGGCTTAAGGTGCGGACCACCCTGGAATCGAGGTGCGGCCCTGCCCGACAATTAACTTTCACGTCAGAATTAACTATTCGACACCACTGGGCAGAGCCTGCAAGGGCTCCAAGTGGCAGGCTTAAGAGAGTGGGAAAGATAAACTTCATATTGGCGAAAGCGACGTTGGAACCAACACAATATGCGAGGAGAGAAGAAGTCAAATGCGGCAGGAAGGGAGAAGGCCGTAGACCGTCAGGTTATCTTTTTAAAGCATTGCTGAACGTTTTTGACAAGAGCATTTCCCTTGAAGGGACTCACGCTAGGCCGAGGATGTTGAGGATGTTCGCGGTATGTTGCTGGATTGAGTGGCACCCTGCTGACCACCTCGTGTTCCCCAGCCTTAATAGGCCCTCGAGAGACATCGGACCTGTCCTCTTGTTTCCCCCTGTCAATTCCGAACCAACCTGCGCTAAGTCTTCCTGGACTTGGGTTCTTCCTGTCACGAAGCTTCAATTGGCTAGAGGAATAGCTAAATTCTCACCTTCCTTAGACGCGCCGTCCAAGCCCTTGGCTCTGCGACGGGTTTCGCGACCAATCTCCTTGCCCTGAAAACGAGCCACAGACCGAATTCGAGCAGGAAAACTTTTCGAACCCAAGGTAGAAATACTGGATAAATTTGATCAACTCGGTTGTTTTGTGAAGCAAAAATGCG